TTTGGCGGGTTTTTGTATGTTCACAGATAAAGTGCACCCATCACCCCTGTCAGTTTTAGAACTTTTTCATCAGCTCACCAAGAAACCCCCTACCGTCGGCCTGCCCCCTCCTGCCCCCCCCCCCCCCCCACACACATACCTACCCCCACTGCTTCCACCAACCCTAGGCGGCCACGACTCTGTGTCTGCAGAGTTCCCTTTCTGGACATTTCATATGGATGGAATCCTATAATATGCACGTGATTTTTTGTGACGGGCTTCTTTCACTTAGTAAAATGTTCTAAGGGTTCATATAGTGTGTATTAGTGCTTCATTCCTTTTTAGGACCAAATAATACTCCATTGTGTGAATAGATAAACTATATTTTGTTTATACATTCATTTGGGGTTTTTGTTTTGTTTTCATTTTTTTTAAAGCAGTCTGCACCCAATGTGGGGCTCAAATTCATGACCCCGAGATCAAGAGTCACATGCTCTACCAACTGAGCCATCCGGGCACCCCCATGCATTCATCTGTTGGTGGACATTTAGGTTGTTTCTACTTTAAAGTATTCTTCCAGTAGCTTCACACTTGGTCTCCTTGCTTCTCTTTCCCTTTTTCACTCTATTCCATGCAGGACCTCTAGAATCCACTCGATATCTGGGTTTTTTTACCTTGTAAAAAAATGTTATTTATTAAACATCTTCAAAGACATATAGCCATGTAGAAAAATAGTCATATTGTATATACGTGATTATCTCCTTCGTTCAGTGCAGCCTAATTTTTTCATTCCCTTTTTTCCCAGCAACTTTTCTTCCCAGCGTCCATAACAGCGCCTCCAATCCCAATAAGGACTAAACCTGAGTCTTCCTGTGCTTTTCTGCACATACGTACCTAGATTTAGACAGAAATACCTCAGAGATACTGTGGGTTTGTTTGCAGACCACTGCGATAAAGTGAGTATCACAAAAAGCAAGCCAGATGAATGTTTTGGTTTCCCAGCGCATATAACATTATATTATTCTGGAGTCTATTAAGTGTGCAGTAGCATTATGTCTTTAAAAAGGTGTGCATTTCTTAATTTAAAGATGCTCGGCACCATCTGAGCTTACAGCAGGTCATAATCACTGATGACAATGAAAAAGTTTGAAGTTTTGCAAGAATTACCAAAACGTGACACAGAGACAAAAGGGAGCAAATGCTGTTGGGAAAATGGTGCCAACAGACTAGACACAGCTTTGCCACAGACCTTCAATTTGTGAAAAACACAGCATCTTGGAAGCGTGATAAGACGAGGTGTGCCTGCATATTCATGCACATACAGTAAATAGGGCAGGGTCGATTTTTTGTTGTTGTTCTTTTGGGGGGTATTTTTGTTCCTTTGGGGTTTTTTGGTGAGGTCATTGTTTTACAAAAATGAGGTTGTTTTACATACTTTCCTGCATCTTTTCTCAGCTTGCCAAAGGCCTGAGAGTCTACTGGTACATCTTTCACTTGGTCCCGTTTTTAATGGCTGCCTAATATTTCGTGATGTGCCTGATATCAAACTATCCCTGGCCGTTCTTCTGGTCTTGTTTCCAGTTTTAACGCTGCCGAAAAAGGGATCCTTGTACACTTCAGGTCTGACCGCATTCATCTCTTACTCTAAGCCTCCGTTGGTCCTTATCTTGAAGACAATTGCCATCAAAGTTGGGATGCAGGAAGCACAGCCGCCCGGGTCCACTGCACCCCACTTTCTGCCCCAGACTAACAGCTGGACACCCAGGTTCTTGTTCTGCCTCTTCGCTATTGTTTGTGCTGCATTCTCTGTGATTCGCCCCTTCCCCTGCAGCAATGAATAGAAGTTGTTAGAGCCCAGACTCTGGGTCAGACCTGGGTTCAAATTATGTGTCCCCCGTACCTCCTCATACTTTGCTTTCTTCCGCATTCCTAAGGAGCTTAATTTTAATGTTTGATATGGTTTTATATTCGGCTTTCTGCTACGTAAGGAATGAGGATTGGTTGGTATACCTGGCACACTTCTAAGTTGAAGGGTCCTGGGAGACGGAATGCAGCCCCTGTGAGCCTACGCATGGGGGCAGCAAGGGCCTAAGGGAAATGTCTGGACCTTCCTCTTAGTGTTGCTGTGAACCTTAAACTGCTTTTCAAAAAATTAAATGTCTCAGTGGGGAGTCTGCTTCTCTCTCTACCCTTCCCCCTGCTCATGCTCGCTCGCTCTCTCAAATAAATAAATTAAAAAGTCTTTAAAAAAATAAATAAAAAATTAAATGTTAAAAAAACAAGGAAACCATGAAAAGATTAGTGCTTGCCAGGGGTTGGGGGAGGTAGAAATGAGTAGGCGGAGCCCAGAGGAATTTTAGGGCAGCGAAACTACTCTCTCTGATCCTCTAATGGTCGATGTATGTCATTATCCATCAAAACCCTTCGAATGCGCAAGACCTCGGAGCCCTGTAAACTATGGACTCTAGGCTGTGATGATTCATGAGTTGTAACAAATGCAGCGCCCTGGTGGGGGTTGTTGATTAAAGGAAGAAAAAAAAAATCTAGCCCCACTTTTTTTTTTTTTTTTTTTTAGTCTTCCTTGGGCACGAACCATGAACCCTTGCATATAGTAGGTGTTTAAAGCCCTGGTTTATAGCCATTACTTCCAAAGTCCATGTTATTTGTTGCCATCAAAACGTTAGGCGGTCTCTGTCAGAGCAAACTCCAGCTCTGGAAAACTAGTTCCCAGTGAAGACCAGTGTGCGCTGGTGAAGTTTGGGAAGGAAAATGCCTCTAAGTTGTGACGTGTCCCGCCCCCAGCTGGGTCATCGTTGAACATTAAATTCGCCAGAGAAGGAAGTTGAAACTAAAAAGAGAAGCACGGATGGAAATACAGGCTTACCGTGCCCGCCCCCCCAATCTCCTGATTGCTGTGTGGGTTGCCCATGGCAACAATCCGCCTAGAGATCCCCCTTCCTGGTTAAATTACTACACAATTGCACCGCGAGCCTGGAAAGAGCGGCCGCTCCTGGTGGCCCCCTGCCTCCCTGCCTCCCTCCCTGGGCTGTATGAAATCCTACGGCCACACCACACTAATTAGCCCGAGAGTGGAAGGGGTTGTCATGGCGACCGCGCACTTTTTAAAGCACAGGAATGGTGTTCATTATTGTTCAGTGTCTTTAGCTGTGCCCGAAAGGTCAGTGAGGCAGGCATTTTCCATATGAATTTTGGCCTGAGCACCAAGCTGGAGGTGGAATGTTCCTCGGAGAGGCTGAAGATGGTGAGTGTGGCTGAACTTTTTTGGATAGGGGTGTCCCTTTCGTAATATTTTTTTAGGACGTTCTAGGAACTGGTGCCAAATGAAGGAATCGTGGGGACATTGTTAAATAAGGGATTGGAAGAAAAGACGCACGGAAAAACAGTGTGGGTCCGGGAAGGGGAGAGATTGAGAGAGGTCCTTGAGCATCCAGTGATTGAGTACTAAATTAGTAGGTGTCTGATTACGAATTTAACAAAGTTGAGTAAGCCTGATGCTTTATGCTGTGTTTGTTTTACGTTAGCTCTGTGCTAGTCTTTGTGGATGGCTACTGCTCAGATTATATTCCCAGATAATATAACGGAAGCATGTTAACCAAATACCTCTAGAACTGTTGCCTCTCTCCATGTTTTTAGAACACAAAGATAAGGCATAAGAGTAACTGGGGGTGACTTTTCATATTTTTATGTTTTTCTTCCTTTTCCAGGGATAAATAATCAAGACTAAAAACCAGGGAGCCACAATTTTTTGGAAGTTTGCCCTAATTTTTTGGCTGTACTCGGGTAGAATACTGCTGAGTAAAGACAAGTTGACCACATTGTTTGTAGAAGGAATGAAATAAATTAAATGTAAGAGAAGTCAGCCTGCTGTAGATGATAGCAGGCTATTCCATTAAAAGCTGTAGGGGAGATTTACAGAGCATTCTTCAAATTTATTCTTCGCTAGTTTGAGGAGCCTGTGGGACAACGTGGCTTTAAGTCTAAATTTGTGTTAATGACCACGTTTATAAGGACTGCAAATTTAAGCCACTTTTTTTTTTTTGCACTTTTTAACAGTGTACTTCCGTCCTCTCACAGTCTTTTTCAGTCATTTTATTTACAGTTGTGTAGGATAAAATACAAATTAGTTCAAGGGACTGGCTGTTTGGATTGAAAAACAAATCATTGCCCAAAAAGCTGAGAGTGGGAAATGGCCTACTTTTGGGCTTTCCCCTGAAAGACCATTGTCCTGTCAGCAATGCTAGTTTGTTTGGTAATGGAGTGGATAAGAGAATACATTTCAGGACATGAAGTTTTGGGTTGATTTTTTTTTTTTTGTCTGTCTTTGGTTTGGATTTTCTGGGATTCATTTACTTAGGGATCATCTTGTAGAGCTCTCGATACATGGAGGATTTGACTAGATATTGAGAAAACTAAAATTCTGTATTTTTTCCACTGGTACGCTTTCTGTCTCCCCAGTCCCCACCCCAGCTGCACCCACCCCTCCCTCCATCCCTCACTGGGTCACTCTATTCTTTAGCTAGAAGAAACATGCCTTTCAGTTCCTTGAAATGGAAGTTCAAAAAGTTTATTGACATCCAGATGACACTTCCTAGGTTCTTTGAAAAATAGTATTTAAAATGGTAGTTATGTTTATGATCATTAAAACAGAAATTTGAACATGGAGATTAATACCAGCGAATTATTGGTATCTTTTAAGACATGATAATGGTGGTGTGGTTATATTGAGAAATGGTATTGATTGTATTTACGAATGAGATGATGTGAAGTCTGGGACTTCGGAAAAATTTAAGGGCAGGGAGTAAGGGCTCCTGGATGGTGCTGGATTCACAGGGTGATGGTTGTTGAAGCCAAGTGATGGGTCCCTGGGGATGGGGTTTGCTTCTGTATTTTTGTCTGGGTTACGTGTGTGCGCGTGCGTGCACGTGTGTGTGTGAGACAGAGAGAGAGAATGGGGGGATTGCCTCGTTCACTTTATCCTCTCACCGTTTCACATGTTCTAGATGCCAGACCAGTTTGACCAGGCGGTTGTGCTAAACCAGCTGCGATACTCGGGGATGCTGGAGACGGTGAGGATCCGGAAGGCGGGGTATGCAGTCCGGAGACCCTTTCAGGATTTCTACAAAAGGCAAGTCCAGGCTGAATAGATCCTCTTTCTTTTCGGAGGCACTGGGAAAAAGAGGGTCGTAGCAAAAGGTGACGCGGGTGACGTGTCTATGCGGCAGGTATAAAGTGCTGATGCGGAACGCGGCTGTGCCCGAGGACATCCGGGGGAAGTGCACGGCCCTGCTGCAGCTCTACGACTCCTCCAACAGTCAGTGGCAGCTGGGCAAGACCAAGGTAAAGATACGGAGAAAGAACCTTCATCCCGTGGGGCGCCTGGGTGGCTCAGCCGGTGAAGCGTCTCCCTTCGGCTCAGGTCATGATCCCAGCGTCCTGGGATCGAGCCCCGCATCGGGCTCCCCACTTCTCCCTCTCCCTCTGCCCCTCCTCACCCGCTCGTTCTCTCTCTCTCTCAAATCAATAAATAAAATCTTTAAAAGAAAAAAAAAAAGAAGAAAGAACATTCATCCCATCGAACTCCTGGGAGATGTTAGGGCAGGTATCCTGTGCAATTGCTAACGAATTATTTTTGAACTTGGGGGACAATATGGTGCCATCCCCACCGTTGTCTTTTGTCCTCCAGACAAAAGTTAATATTTTATCTGAAGTACTTGACTTGTCAGGAGCTCTGTTTTCTGAAACCTCAGACCAGAGTGTGCGTGTGCGTTCCTGCAGGCAGTCAGCACATTTGGGCAGATGAGCAGTTCAGTGCCACGAAGTGCTGGGCAGCCTCTGGCTTCAGAGAAGTGAGAGCCCAGACCCTTCTACTGTTCATGATCCGGACACTGAATGCTATCCCTGCCCCACAGGACCTGTTGTGCCAGAGACCGGCCAATAGTCCGAGATCTTGTAGGTTGACCAAAATCCAGTCTAGAAAAGCAAGTGAAGGTCATTTTTGGAACATGCTGGTGTGGCTGAGATGAGGTCTGTATCTGTTTTATTCCAGACAGGAGCTGAGGGGCAGACAGTTTAGCCTCAACAGCAAAAATTAGCCATAAAATTGGTGGTGTGACCTCTTCTGCTTGTAGCAGGGAGCTGCCGAAATACTCACTTGCTGTTCACTCTTGTTTTTTCCCTCCGCTCCTGGGCCTCATCACCCGAGAAAGACAGAAATGTGACTTGGCACAGAAATGCAGGCAGCTGGGGGGGCTTGACCATTGAGTGTTTGGATGTACTCGAACATAAGAGGTGGTCCTCATGCCTCATCCTCCTGGCCCTCTGAGTAGCAATGCAGCATCCAAAAAATATTTTAAAGCTTCCACTCATATTACATTGTTTTTAACCAAAGAATTTATTTCTTTAAAAAAAGGGAAAAGGGGGCGCCTGGGTGGCCCAGTCAGTTGAGCGTCCAACTCTGGATTTCGGCTCTGGTCATGATCTCAGGGTCATGATCGAGCCCCGTGTTGGGCCCAGCTCTGACTGTGGAGTCTGCTTAAGACTCCCTCTCACTGTCTTAGTCCATTTGGGCTACTATAACAAAATACCACCGACTGGGTGCCTTGAAGAACAGACATTTATTTCTCACAGTCCTGGAGGCTGGAAGTCTGAGAGCAGGGTCCTCACGCGGAGGAGAGCAAGCTCGGGCTTCTCTCCCTCTTCTTAGAGGGCACTAATCCCATCATGCCCTCCCCCCCGCCCCGCCCTCCTGACATCATCCAAACCGAATTACGTCCTAGAGGTCCCGCGTCCAAATCCCATCACACTGGGAAATGGAGAGGACACAAACATTCTGTCCATTTTCACATCAGTGACAAGTATGGACGTATCATGTGGGGACATTCAGCAAGGGAGAGTGTATAATGGACGTACTCTTCACTCTTAAGTTTTTTTTTAAGATTGATTTATTTATTTTAGAGAGTAAGAAAGAGAGTTGGAGGGAGGGGCAGAAAGAGAGAGGGAGAGAGCATCTCAAGCAGATTCCGCACTGAGCTTGGGGCTCGATCTTGATCGCATGACCCTGAGATCACAACCTGAGCTGAAATCAAGAGTCAGATGTTCAACCGACTGAACCATCCAGGCGGCCCATGCTCGTCTACTCTTGAGCACTTTCACCCTGGCAGGGATTTAAGATACAAACATCCAACAGGGTAGTGATGGCATGCAGAGGTATTGATTAGTTATCTGTTGCTGTGTAACAAGCTACCACTAACGTAGTTGCTTTAACAGCACATGTTTTAATTCCCTCACGGTATTATAGGTCAGGGCTCCAGGCATGGCTTACCTAGGACCTCTGCCGGGGTCGCCCGAATTGCATTCAGAATGTAGCTGGGGCTGCATTCCCTTCTGGAGCTCGGGGTCCTCTTCCAAGCTTATGTGGTGCCAGCATCTGGTTCTTCGCAGTTGTAGGACTGAGGTCCCTGTTTTCTTACTGGCTGCCACCCAGGACCGCTCTGAGCTCCTGGAGGCCCCAGCAGTTTCTTACCATGTGATCCGTCCCACAACATGGCAGCTCACTTCTTCAAGGCCGGCAGGAGCGCTCAGCCGGAGTCCTTATAATTCATGTATTCGCAGAAGTGACATCCCATCACTTGTCCATATTCCGTTTGCTAGAAGGAAGTCCGTTTCCACCCACACTTGCAGGATTAAACCAGGGTGTAACTCACTGGGGGGTCATCTCAGGATGTGTCCTCACAGGTTTATAGGTCTTCCTGCCTGGAATTCTCCTCCCTCTGGCCCCCACCTCCATCCCCTATTTATCTAACCCATCCTTCCAGTCTTAGCTTAGACATGGACTTGGACAGGAATCCTTTTTGACATTCTCCATTGCACCCCGCACGAAAAATACACCCCCAAACTGAGTCAAGCCCCCTCCTCTGCCATCTACATCAGTCCCGTTGTGACACTCAACTGGTCTCGTGCCGTCTTGGTGTTACCTGGTGACTTCTCTACAATCACCCAGGAGAGAACATAGAGTTGATTGTTCATTCTTCTACATAGTGCACAGAGTAGGAGCTCAGTCAATGTCTGGTAAGTGCTAGAAAACTATAAGGGATGGAACGAGGGTATCACTCATGTAGTCCCCCCGGGGAAACTTTCTAAAGATGGCTCAAATGGAGCTCTTGACAATACAATATCAGCCTGCTCTGACTTTTTAATCAAAAAGGTACTGCATTCTCTATCAACGGCTACCCTCCTCCTATCCCGCTGCCTTATACAGTGGAATGACAGCAAAGATCATGATGTCTCAGACAATACAGGTCTCTTCTCTGAGCTCTCAAGAACCAATCCAACTTCACGTACAGTTACAGTTACATTATGGAAATGAGGCCCAAGCAAGGCTTGGAACCAGGCATAGCACAGGACACAGAGATATAATGACGTGGCCCTTCAGGTTACTATGTTCCCGGGAGAGAAGACATCCACGTGCCACCAATCAATCACACAGCATCATCTCCTCTAGGAATAAGGACACCGCTTCTCCAGGAGAGACCTCACTGTGGATTGAAATGCTCAGGAAAGCATTCAGGATGAGGACATCTTTAGAGAGGAGTTAAACTTTAATTGGTGACCAGTTGGAGGTAGAAGTAGGATGGAAACTTGACGGTTCACAGAAACACTGGGAAGAAAATGTAAACATCAGAGCGTTTGAATTGTGTCCACTAAATAGCTTTGACCTTGACCACTGTTTGACTTAATTATACATTAGTGTGTGTTTTGGTCAGTGTTGCTACCAGAAGGTCTTTGTATTTAAAGCCTTGAAATCTAATGAACATCTGGATCTTCTAGTAAAGAAATTCCCATCACACGTGACGGAGGGAAACGTGGACAGTGTTGTAGTCGGCAAATTAAACACGGTACCAGGTCTAAATTAGTTGGCTCACATAAAAACACATTTAGTACTTGGAAGGCAAGAATTCATATCTGCTGGGGACTCAGGTAGGAGTCCTGCCTGAACCTCCGGTGAACAGCCCGTCCAGAACATTCCCCTGTGTGTCCCCGCTGTGAGGTTGAGTTGAGGGTGACCTCGTTTTGACTCTTCCTGCTGCCTTGTGACTCTGACACATTTCATTTTTCTGACCACCTGGACTCTGTTGCCAGACCTTTTCCCCTCTGTTCTATGGCAATAAAGTCTGCAAGAGGTATTTCTTTTATAAAGACATTTTACTAGAATAATCCTTGGGCTCTTGAACTATTAGGATAAGGATGAAAAAAGCCAGATGAAATTGTTCATCTTGTATGTTGAGTCGAGTTCAGCAGGGCAGTCCCTTAAGTGGGCACTGCCCTTTCCTGAGCCACTTGGTGGCACCTGCTGAGGGCAGCGCTTCCATCCACAGAAGCTGGGTCATGCTGGCTCCATCTTGGCCGCGTCCCAGGAGGACGGGGATATGGCCGCTGCTGGGCTGGGAGAACGGACGTGGCTTTCTGTGTGTCCTTGCATAAATTCAGGGTGGATGTTCTTAAGCTGAGTCGGGCCTCTAAAAGTGTTCAGCTCTATTTGTTTGCCCTTCGGGTTAGTGGAAGAACATCTAGAGAAAGATGGGGAAGTAAATGTACTAGGTGGAGCAGAGAGCTCTTTGGGATGGGCATGAAATCTAACACTAAAGCAGGTATTTCTCTGATTCTGATTCAAACCAAGACATTCTGTAGACTTCCAGGAAGGTGAAAGACACTCTTCCCTTCATAAAGCTATTTGATCATGGAATAAATATGTTGCTCATTAGAACTGGCATTTTGTTTCATTATAGCCCCGCCACCATCGTGCTTCCCCAAGATTTGACTTTCATACTTTTAAATACTCCCCAGAGCAACAGCATTAGAATAAGATCTTTAATGCTGGAAAAAAGTCTCAAAGAGGTTTAAATACTTCTTGAAAGTCTAGTCTTGATGAAAACTGCTTCAGAGATTCGTATTTCTGAAAACTTTTTATTATCAAATAAAGAAGCTTTATACTTGCAGCTTCTGTCCTTTACTTTTTTTTTTTTTTTTTTGGCCAAAGATGCAGTCTCTTCATGCATCAGTAGAGCATATAATTGCAATTATAGGAAGAGAGGTGTATGAAAAACTTTTCTAGGAGAATTATTTGTGGTAGAGTTTTGCAAGTGCTCGGGAACCCAGAGCAGGAGTAGGTAAAGCTTCTGTGAGTCACATGGTGGTAGGATTCTTTATTCGCTTTTTTTTTGCCCAAATGTCTTGGAAGAAGCAGAGCAGAGTGTCTGGGAAAATGTGCTATTAAGAAAACATAATGCATCATTATAGGCCAGAATGACTCACAGGAGCATAAATCAAAACATCATGAGTGAGAGAGAGTGTCATTTAGTCTCCCGCCCACCACCACCAAAATGCTTCCAGGCTGACCGTTAACAGAAAAGCATAAAAATATTTGGCACTAATTCTTCTAGGAAATAGTTCAGAATTTCTTATGCAGACAGTAAATCTGAAATTATAAAATTTAAAGCTACCTTGATTAAGGGAGGGTCTTAATGTTTTCACATCTTTTTAAATACTGGGAATTCTGATAGAGTGCCAATTAGCAGATATACTTCCCTTATTTAATAAGCATAGGGTTGAGGTGCCTGTTCCCAGAAATAGGCCAGCAAATAGCTATGATCTGTTTTGTCCCAATTCTGGTATTCTTGTGAGGGTCAAACGGAGATGGAGCGGAAATGGTTCAATTCTAATTTCAAACTCCGTTTTCAGAATTACATTCTTTTTTTTTTTTTTTAAGATTTTATTTATTAGAGCATGAGCGGGGGGGCAGGGGAGAGAGGGAGAAGCAGACTCTATGCTGAGCAGGGAGACCACTATGGAACTCGATCCTAGGACCCTGGGATCATGACCTGAGCCAAAAGCAGACGCTTAACCAACTGAGCCACCCAGGCGCCCTCAGAATTACAGTCTTAATGTCAACTTTTAAATGTGCATTAAAAGTTTTTGAGGCCAAGATACCGTGATCGTAATCACTTAACAGTCATGCAGAGAGAGTTTCCATGTGCTAGTAAAGTAACATTTTGCAAAGTTCCTGGGTTTTTTTTCCCCTCTCTCCCTTTCCTTCTTTCCTTTTGTAACACAGAGTGTCTCTCTGTGTTTCTTGTGACTTACACTTCATGTGGGACTGGTGCTGGTCCATGAACTATTTGTCCCACTTAAGTGAGTGTAAACTTTGATGGCAACTTCATAGTCCTCTTTGCCTGTTGGATCTAATAACCAAGAAAAGGGGGGGACTTTTTTTATTTTCTGTATCTTTGCTTTTTCTTCCTAGTAATATATTTTTGCTCTATTTTTCGAATGTCTTAGTACATGACAGATGGAAAGTTAAAAAAACAAAGCAACCCTTCGCCACAGGGAGTTGGAGAAGCACTGTTCTAGAACACATGGCTGTGTGTTTGGAGCAAATTTACGGAGAGAGAGGAAAGCCTGACTTCCAAAAGATATCTCTGACTTGGAGAGAACCTCCTTTTACCAGCCATGTTCTTTGCTTCTGATGCGTCCCTTTCCCTCGGCCAGGTCTTCCTTCGAGAATCCCTGGAGCAGAAACTGGAGAAGCAACGGGAGGAGGAAGTTACGAGGGCGGCCATGGTGATCCGGGCCCACGTCTTGGGCTACTTGGCACGGTAAGAAGCACACAGAGGGGAGAAGCTGTAAAGTATAAGTGGCAAGAGGAGGCCTCCCCCTGTATGTGTCACCAGGCGGGGTAGCCCTTGTTTGCTTTTACTTACAACAGACCTGGATGGAGGTCAGGACCAGGCTATGGGGAGTCTCAGCGTAGCGCTCCTAACTAGTGATGCCAGATGCCCAGTTGGCTTGACTTGGGTGAACATAGGCAAGGGGCCTCCTGCTGTCTCCATTAGAGCGATGACAGGAGGGGACAGTGCCGAGATATTTAAGTTGTTTACCCAGTTCCTCTGTGTCGTGTATTGAAGCCAGGCAGCCTGGCTGTTGACTTGGCTGTTGGCCCATCGGGTCCACAGAGAACCCCCCACCCCCACCCCCGTGTTTGCCCAGTGAGGCAGCTTCTTGCCTTGTGCACTAGAGTTCTGTCCATCTCTGCGGACCTGCCTGCTCTGTGAAACCCCACGCTGTTCCGTTTTCTGAAGACCATCCTGCTGTGGCCTTTTTCTTTCCCCCTCATGAGAACGGGAGACTACATCAAATCTTTTTTGGAGCTGTTTACAAGCCAACCTCTCCCAGGCTTCTTCAAAGTCAGCATTAGGGGTTATGGGCTTATTTAGCCAAGATAATGATAAGGTTCTTGCTTTAGTTTTGTTTGTTGTTATTCTTTTGTTATCCTTCCGTTTTGTTTTGTCCAAAGGGGCCTCCTCCCGTTCGCTCCCGTCCCTGTAATGAGACGTTCAGAACTTGGCCCTCTTCTTCTGTCTTGTAGCATTAATGTAAACTCATTTGAAGAGCTCGGAGCCTCATTACCTCAACAGCTATTCTGTTGCGCCGTTTTGTTTTCCATTTTCAGAAAGCAATACAGAAAGGTCCTGTATTGCATAGTGATCATACAGAAGAATTACAGAGCATTCCTTCTGAGGAGGAGATTTTTGCACCTGAAGAAAGCAGCCATAGTTTTCCAGAAGCGACTCCGAGGTCAGATTGCTCGGCGAATTTACAGACGCCTGCTGGCGGAGAAACGGGAGGAGGAAGAGAAGAGGAAGCGGGAGGAAGAGGAGAGGTATACACTAGCTTTCTTGCTCGGATGAAGCAGAAGGGCACCTTTTGAAAGTTTTAAGGTCAATATCCATTCTTGCAGCAAGAATTCTCAGCGGATGCTGCAGAACCTTCTGTTTGAAACATTACCTCCTGGTGGCTTGGATATAAAATTCCTTGGCAGCCTTGAATACCGAGTTCTGTGCATTTTTATTCATGCACAGAATGAGCCAACTGACCAGAGGAAGAGGGTCCATCCTTCATCCTTTTTAAATTGTATTTAGCAAAGTTATCTTTTAAAAAGGTAGTGCTCTCTCAGAAACGTGCTTCTGGGATTTTTTTTTTTCATTGCTTTTGGTTATTTTCACCATCTTTTTCCTTTACATTTTTAGAGAAAGAGAGAGGGCACGAAGAGAAGCTGAGCTCCTCGCCCAACAGGTAAAGAATGCTGTTGACCGTGTGCCATCTCATCTGCCCCTTTCCTTCCCACCTCAAACACTTTGATGTAAGGATTCAAAACGAAAATAAAGTATAAAGATACAAGAAGAAGAGTTTTAAAGGAGACGCTGATGAAGCGCAACCTGCTACAACTGAGTAAAACTTAGTGAATGTCTGAGGTTTTAAGCATCATTTCTATAAACCCCTGGAAGCTCTGCATTAGTTGGCTAGCCCTGCCCTCACAAAGTACCACAGCCCGCGTGGGTTCAACAAATTGTTATTTCACAGCTCTGGAGGCTAGACCCCCCAGGATGAAGGTGTCGGCAGGTTTGCTTTCTGCCGAGGCCTCTCTCCTTACCTTGCACGTGGCCACCTTCTCACTGGGTCCTCCCGTGGGCTTGCACTTGCGTGCATGCATCCCTGGTGTCTCTGTGTGTCCCCCGATCTCCTCCATCTGTAAGGACACCGGTCAGCTGGGGTTACAGCCGCCCTCATGGCCTTATTCTCAATCACTTCTTTCAGAGCCCTGTCTCCAAATACACATTCTGTGGTAGGGGGGATTAGGGCTTCAACATCATCCACTTGGTGGCGGGCGCACACAGTTCAGCCCATAGAAAGAAAGCACAGCTCCTCATGGTTCTGTATTGCAGAGAAGGAGCAATGCCTGTCCTGGCTGGCGTGACCCTTGCTGCCCTCCTCCTTCCCCTTCTGCCCAGGAGGAAGCCGCCCGGAAGCCGCAGGAGCCGGAAGCCTTGCACAAGAGTCCGAGGGAAGCGGGACTGCACTGTGACCTGGAGAAGCAGAAGGAAAACAAGCAGGTGGAGGAGATCCTGCGTCTGGAGAAAGAGATCGAGGACCTGCAGCGCATGAAGGAGCGGCGGGAGCTGTCCCTGACCGAGGCGTCGCTGCAGAAGCTGCAGCAGCTGCGGGACGAGGAGCTCAGGAGGCTGGAGGACGAAGCGTGCCGAGCGGCGCAGGAGTTCCTCGAGTCGCTCAACTTCGACGAGATCGACGAGTGCGTCCGCAACATCGAGCGCTCCCTGTCGGTGGGCGGCGAGTGCCCGGCCGAGCTCGGGGGGCCGGCGGAGGGCGCGGGCGCCGAGAAGCCCAGCTTCAACTTCAGCCAGCCCTACCCGGAGGAGGAGGTGGACGAGGGCTTCGAGGCCGACGACGACGCCTTCAAGGATTCGCCCAACCCCAGCGAGCACGGCCACTCGGACCAGCGAACTAGCGGCATCCGCACGAGCGACGAGTCGTCGGAGGAGGACCCCTACATGAACGACACGGTGGTGCCCGCGGGCCCCAGCGCCGACAGCACGGTGCTCCTCGCCCCGTCGGAGCACGGCTCGTCCCGCGGGGAGCCCGCCTACTGCGTGCCCCCGGGCGGCGGCGGCGGCGGCGGCCTCCCGCCCCCGGACGGCGACTACGACTACGACCGGGACGACGATGAGGACGGCGCCCTCGCCTCGGGCAGCAGCGTGACCTTCTCCAACTCGTACGGCAGCCAGTGGTCCCCGGACTACCGCTGCTCCGTGGGGACCTACAACAGCTCCGGGGCGTACCGCTTCAGCTCGGAGGGGGCGCAGTCCTCGGTGAGCGTGGCCCGCGGGGCCTGGGCGGTGGGGTGCGGGGTGGACCTTGTCTGGCCCCGGGGGAGCCCAGGTTTCAGAGTCGGGCTCTTGAGGAGGATCCTCCACCGCTTTCTCTGGCCCAAAGCAATCGCATTAGTAGATGGAGCTTTGACGTGCTTGCTGTAGGTTGAGCACAGAGCGCAGCCTCGCCTAAGAAAACTGGCATTGCAAATGCAAACGCGAGCTGTGTGGGTCATAGCCTCCCAGCAGGTGGGGAAATAAAGCCCGCCCTAAATTACAACTAGAATGGCCAAGGGCACACGGGCGAAAGGTCTAGCCTTCGGGTGGCTTCACGGTCCACTCCCCGGCATGTTCTACCTGGTTCTGCGCTCCTTAATGGCTTACACCTGCTCTTTCTAGCATATGGGTTTATTTATGGTTGACTTTTATTTTTTCCCATTGGCTCTGCCTTAAATAGCCCCTTGATTTCCTAAGGCTTGAAGGTATTCTTATCATTGTAATCTAAAGGGAATTAACTTTTGTAGGGTTTGATTAAAATTATACCCTTGAACAGCAGTGTTTTTAGAACAGCCTTTGGATGAAAGTATGTCTCGCATCGTATCAGTTCGATAGATCATTTGACCTTACAGGTCGGTGTTTTGTAATTCTTTTGATGACCACCCTGTGTTGTAAATGGTATGAATCCTCCTGTTGCTTCTGCCAGGTTTTGTTTTGTTTTTCAGTGTTGACAGATGCTGGGCATTTTTGTTGACTTTTCTGTTTGGCTCACCGTTGGCTCTCTCCTTCTTGTCCAGTTTGAAGACAGCGAAGAGGACTTTGATTCTAGGTTTGATACAGACGATGAACTTTCTTACCGGAGGGATTCGGTGTATAGCTGTGTCACCCTGCCTTACTTCCACAGCTTTCTATACATGAAAGGTAGGACCCGTGTCCCCAGGGCGCCTGGGGAGGGGGGTGCGGTAGAGCCACGGACCGCTGAGGTTTTGTTTTCACGGAGGCTGATTGAGGGGGACCAGGAAGATCACTCTCCATGGCCCCCACCTGGCGTTAGGTCCTCTGAGGTGAACGAGGGATGCCGGGGGTGCCATGATCATACCACAAAGAACGCTGCTTGGATTCTCACAGCATTAGGCCAGAGGATGCAGCCACCGTCACCGTCTTCGGGCCCTGTCTCCTCTCTCTTGCCACCCCATCTCATTTCTGTGCTCTTTTCCTTTCTTCCTACATCTCCCACGCCCTGGCCAACACACACTTTTCCTTTCCTTTCTCTCTCTCGCTTCTGCTGCAGTTGGCCTAGCCTGTTATAATGATACACTGCACCTTTCCCTCCCGCGGGAGTGTTAGAGAATCTAGAAGGGTTTCCTATACGTGGGAGAAAAGTAAAGATCTGAGACAGGGGTGCACCTTGCCTTGACTGCTTATGACACCTGCTCTCTACCCCACACTTCATGACAAGGATTTGGGTTGTATATTTTGACTGCTGTTAAATTTTGAATGTCTTGTACTGGCCCTTAATACTTAAGGACTTCAAAGCATACTCCTTCTGGAAAGGAACTTAATTAGGCCCTTGTGGTCATGCCTCTTCCGTGTTCTCAACTCTGACTTATATTTTATATTTTATTTTTTAAGTTTTTTTATTTGGGTGCAGGTGGGAGGAGCAGAGGGAGAGGCAGAGAGAGAGAGAGAGAATCTTAAGCAGGCTCCACACTCAGCACGGAGCCTGATGCGGGGCTCAATCTCATGACCCTGAAATCATGACCTGAGCTGAAATCAAGAGTTGGACACTTTAACCGACTGAGCCTCCCAGGCACCCCTCAACTCTGACTTCTAAATCTGTGACAGGGATCATGAGAAGCCACAGTCCTCACCAGGTTTTGGTAGGAGTTTCACATGGATCCCTGAAGGAAGGGTCTGTCTGGTTTCTCTCACGGCTCCAGGCTACATGAGGAACCAGGTCCAGATCTGGGGGATGGGCAGGGGTAACCAAAACCATCATCCCGCTGATGATGCCCTTCACTCTGCCACCCGTCCTTTCCTTTCCCTTCCCCGTTTCTCTGTCAGCAGGTCTTCCTGACTCTTCCTCACTTTCTTTTCCACTGCCATCTCTCCTACCTTCTGTTTCCTTCCATGAAAAAATTTTTATTCTGTGTTCCCTTTCCCTATTTCTTCTGTTCTTTGCCTTTGCTTCTCCTTCCTACTGGCATATTTATCTTTTTTCATATTACTTCTCCGCCTTAATAGTTTTCCTGTTCTTCACTTACATTTTTATTTTCATTTGATTTTTTTCTGCTGCTTCTGCACCCCCCCCACCCCCCACCCCGCCATCTCCAACATCAGTCTAGCTACGAGTATCAGTCACTGGCTTTTCAAAGGTCTGCTGTTCTCAACCCCAGAGCCCCAAAGTGCTCATGGAAACCTCGCTAGGTTTTGTTTACAGGGGATCTTCCTATTGCCTGAAGTCATTGGTTGGTGGAAATTTTTATAGGTGTGCTAGAATGAAAAAGATTGAAAATTTTGAACTGAGTAATCAAGTGTTCACTAGAATACTCAATAAAAGAAAAAAATTTAGTCACAAATCAGAAGTTAATCTAAGAAGTATGAAATCAGAGCATTTTAAGATTTTTGTCATTCATTTCTTTTTTTTTTTTTAAAGATTTTATTTATTTATTTGAGACAGAGAGAATGAGAGAGAGAGCACATGAGAGGGAGGAGGGTCAGAGGGAGAAGCAGACCCCCCGCCGAGCAGGGAGCCCGATGTGGGACTCGATCCCGGGACTCCAGGATCATGATCTGAGCCGAAGGCAGTCGCTTAACCAACTGAGCCACCCAGGCGCCCTTTTGTCATTCATTTCTAAGGATAAATATAAGCTTTTTATTTGTAGTATATATTTCCCCCACCCCTAGTTAATTCTAGTTCCCTAAGTTAGCTTTAGAATTCCCTATAAGTCACTCTTCTATGGCATTTGGATTTATTACATAATTGATTAAAACAAATAAGATTAGAAAAAATAAAGATCTACTCAAAGCATTAAAATCTTAAGATTAAAGCATGAAGAGCCCAAGAAGGTAAACAAGTGAATTTTTGGCAAACTCCTCTTAATAAAATAAGTTGTCATATAAATGCGTCACCTTCTAATCTTTGACACATCATCATTTAATCTTTAATAAAGTATTTATAAAGTTGTGACCAAACGTTTGAGAGAAACCAATGATAAAGAAAATCTAACCACCAGATTATATTTTGAGTATAAATGCGTTTGCACCAGCCTAATAGTCTCCATAAAGGGTTTGCCGTTGCGAAATTAATAGCATTGATCGAATTCTCCAAATGATGAAGTATTGAGAGAGCACCCAGAATTGGAGAGGGGCCGCTGGGAGTGAGTCCCATTCTTAGCATAAGACCAATAGAGTGAATAAACTCGAGGTGGTGGCTGTGGTGATAACGGGTATAATCTGTGTCTTCAAAACAACTGTGAATAACCTTTATCGTTTAAAAACATTTTTTAATCAAAGTATTAACTAAAATACAGTATTCTCTTAGTTTCAAGTGTACGACATAATGAATTAGCACTTGCACACCTTGCTCAGTGCTCACCACTAGAAGCCGTAGTCCCCATCTGTCCTCCTACAACGTCATTAACCTTTATCACCTGAAGACAGTAAGATCATAGAATAACTTTGTACTACAGTTTCCTCTGGGCTTGCTTTGAGAAACCCAGATTAAAGCCACAAATCAGAAAGAAGAAGTTTGATTCTGGTATCCCTTGGCGAGTTTGTAGTTTGTTAGGAAACCGCCCTGGAGCGTGGCGTGGTCCCGGACTTCTCAGCCAAGCAAGCAGACAGTGCTTTAGGTTTAAGAAGGGGCATGGGGGGAGGGGGGGCAGTGCCTGGGGGCTCAGTCGGTAAAGCTCCTGCCTTTGGCTCAGGTCATGATCTCAGGGTCCTGGGATCGAGCCCCATGTCGGTTCCCTGCTCAGTGGGGAGTCTGCTTCTTCCTCTCCCCCTGCTCGTGCACCCTCTCTCTCTCTCCCCCCCAAAGAAAGAAAAGGCATCGGTGTGTCCAACGAAAGCAAGTGCCTTGCACGCCAGACCCCAAGTAATGTTGCCATTACCTCATCTGTTTCACTGTGAGGTTTAGTTCTGTGCTCACTGAAGCAATCATTGAAGAAATTTGAGAAGGTCTGTGTTCAAGCCACCTCCAATCTGGAAAAGAAAGCATTTTCTTTATTCTTTCAGGATCTGTGTTCACCTGTGCCTTATTTTTAAGACTGGCTGATCAAAAAATGTAACTCGTCTCTTTATAATAAATTACTGAAGTAGATTCAGTATCCTTCAGTGGATTCCGTAAGAGATTTTTTGATTGATGGTGGTTAAGATGTCATCTTTGACCGTCCTTGGGAAATCTAGAATACTAAGATAAAATTATTCTGCTGGAAAAATATTAGAAGTTTCTTTTAAAGGTTTCATTTTTAAGTAATCTGTACACCCAATGTGGGGCTCAGACAACCCCAAGATCAAGTGTCACATGCTCTTCCGACTGAGCCAGCTAAGTGCCCCCTTAGGAATATTTTTATCTTGTAAAAGATATATGTATATCCTTGTTTTACTTCTCTTACTGAAAACGTTTTCTACTAAATAAATTATGGCTAATTCTCATTTCATGTCCTAAATCTACACTTTTTACATATAAACGATTTTCAGATGATGATACTTTTCTTTGAAAAGTATTTATCCAAAAAAGCCCTGTTTTATTTTCCTATGGAAGTTTTAAGTCTTGTACCCCTCTCCCTCTCCACCCGCCCCCCCCCCCCATTGACCAAATAAGGAAGAAGGAATGTGTGTAAACTTTGACACCATTTTAAACTAATTTCTCCTCTCTGGGGCATTTGGAGATAAGCATGATCCATTTGTTCGGAGATGGTTTGCGCCCCATCTCGACTCATCCCAGGGTTAGAGTGTCAGCTCATGAGTTGTGTTTCTGCCAGCACCTCACCAAGATTTCTCAGCTGAGTGGGAGCTGCTTTGGGAATAAGGAAGGGACAGCATTGCTGTGTAATCCAGCCAAGCTAGTGTAGTGTCGCCCACCGCCCCCTGAACACAAGCCGGCAGGCACCATGCTTTGTCGGGGGGTGTCTGGGGGCACGGCGGTTGGACAAAGTGGAGGATAGGCTGAACCTTGAGACGCTCCACTGATGTCGTCATGCAGAATGATTGACTTTTCTCAAACCCCTCCCTACCCTATCTTGGGGAACAGGTGGTTTAATGAACTCCTGGAAACGCCGCTGGTGCGTCCTCAAGGATGAAACCTTCCTGTGGTTCCGCTCCAAGCAGGAGGCCCTCAAGCAAGGCTGGCTCCACAAAAAAGGTGGGGGCTCCTCCACGCTGTCCAGGAGGAACTGGAAGAAGCGCTGGTTTGTCCTCCGCCAGTCCAAGCTGATGTACTTTGAAAATGACAGCGAGGAGAAGCTCAAAGGCACCTTGGAGGTCCGGACGGCCAAGTATGTTGACGGACCCCGGAGATGGCCCAGTGGGGTGGTGCTCGGGGGCTGCTCGGTCGTTCATGTCGATGCCTCCAAGGCCACCTGGCCCGCGGTCTTCGAAGCAGTAGGTTGTAGGCGTCAAGTGCGTCCCAGTCATTCACTTGAGCCGATCGAATTGTTAGGGGCCTGGGGAAATGACTTTGTGAACCGTTCACTTCTCATGGTCACGTTCAGACCCTTGGCTCTCAGTAAGATGCCCGCTGGTCCTGGTGGGAATGTGATTGGTTGTGTGCAGGGATCCTCGAATATTGAACAGTGGGTTAAGAAGCTTTTACTGATCAACACACCACAACAGATTGCTAAGTTGGAACCAGACTGCCCATCTGGAGGTGTTTGGTTTTTTGCTTTAGTTTTTGAGGTGTCGCTGACATATAGCATGTGAGTTTCAGATGTACAATGAAGTGATTCCACCTTTGTATATATTGCAGAGTGATCACCACAGGGAGTCTAGTGAACATCCATCTCCAAACATAGTTAACAATTTTTTTTTTGGTGATGAGAACTTCTAAGATCTACTCACTTAGTACTTTATCCAAATGGGCGATACTGTACTCTTAACTAATTCTCTCATGCTGTACATGATGGCCCCAGGACTTATTTGGTAACTGGAAGATTGTAACTCTTTTTTTTTTTTTTTAAAGATTTTATTTATTTATTTGACAGAGAGAGACACAGCAAGAGAGGGAACACAAGCAGGGGGAGGGGGAGAGGGAGAAGCAGACTCCCTGCCGAGCAGGGAGCCCGATGCGGGACTCGATCCAGGATCTCCAGGATCATGACCTGAGCCGAAGGCAGTCGCTTAACTGACTGAGCCACCCAGGTGCCCTGGAAGATTGTAACTTTTGACTACCTTCATTTTTTTTTTTTTTTTAGCTTTTTGAATACCCTTCATTCTTAGAGATGTTTTTTTTAAATGAATCCTTTATCTTTTACTTTTGTGGGCTATTTCAGCCATCGTTGTATCCAGCAGTGAGAGGAACAGAACTGGGCTTTGAATCCAACACGCCCCCCTTTGCTGCCACCTCTTATAGAACCAAAGCCCTGGACTATTGAGGACCTATTATTTGGGTTAAAAATTAAGGTTTTCAGGAAATTGTTGGACTTCGCGGCAGCTGGGTAACTTGACACTAGACATTAAGTGCTTTGGGATAACCATTAGCCATTACTCCACTCAAAACCAAGCAACCACCATATTTAGAAAATGGGTAAAATAAGCTTTGAGACAGAAGATTAACTCCTAAAGTCACGAGACCTGAAAATGGTGTTTTGTTTCTAACCAGCATCAGCGACTTTAGAACATTATTTATTAAAAAGTGTGGGAAGTTAAACAAGGAGAGTGTTCTACGCATTTAATTTTAAGGGCAAATAACGAAGTGCAGACAGTGGAGTATTGGACTTCTCCAGGCTGCCCTTGGAGTGTGTTAGGAGCCCATGATCCAGCACAGGCGTGAGCGTGTGGGGCTGTGAATCTAAATCCTACCAGAAATTTCCATAGCATGACACAGCTGTGTGCTTCTGCCTCTCAGCCCTGCATCCCTGATGTTCCTCCTGATTCAGCCTATAGGAGGCTCCCCGACAAATGCCAGGAAGCTCAGAGCAGGGAACAGAGAGGGAATTTCCCTGGTGGAAACTGATGTATAATCCTCATGCACCTTGCTCTGTGCTGCTTAATAAAAAGCCCTCTTCTCCGGGTGCTTTGTGAAAATTACAGAGTTGAGAAGACATTAGCTCTTACTCGGCCGTTTCTGTCCTGTTCTGCAGAGGGAGGGCAAGGAGTTGTTAGGGTTTCACCACATTAAGATTTTTTTATTGGCATTAATTAAAAGTATCCACTTTATATTTTGAAATGTTTTGTTACAGAAAATTTCAGTCCTATGCAGAAGCAGGCAGGGGAATATAATGAAATCCCTGCGCTGTTAGGCAGCTTTCAGCTGTGACCACCCGCCCCCTCCCCCCGCCAGCCCATGGCCCTAGTGTTTCATCTGTAACCCCACCCGCACTGCTCCCCCTACAGGCTGTGTTCTGTAAAGCAAGTTCCTGACATCAGAATTTTATCTCTAAATATTTTAGTATACGCTTAGAGATTAAGACTCTTAATATATAATCACATTATGGTGACAGCATTTAAAAAAATAACAGTAACTTCTCAATCATCCAGACTCCAGTCATTGTTCAGATTTCCCCAGTTGTCTTGTATATGGAGGTGATAGTGCTCTTGCTGGTTTGGATTGGTTTATTTCTTCCAATCAGAATCCAAGTAAGGCTTATAATTTTTAATCCATCGACCGATCTCTCAAATCTCTTGTAATTTATACAACATTCCCCCCCCCCATCATTTTCTTCACACACTCGCTGTCATTGAAGATGCCACCGCATTTATCCTACAGAGTTTCCAGATACTGCATCGTGACCCTGACAATATCATCACTCCCTCTCCAAGGAAGCTTTTTACAAGTGCAGGTCCCAGGGCCCCACCCTGAAGAGAGCCCCCCCCCCCCCCCCGCACTGCCTGTGTTTCTGAACGTTTCCCAGGACCATGTGGGCCACAGTGGTCCAGAACCACAGCCTTCCAGCTAGATCACAGTCTCATCTCTCACTTTACGCACAAGGTTGCCGAGTTCCTGAGACTGCGGCAGAGTGGCCGGTCCAGGATGACATGGTCTGGACAGTTTCCCTAGAGTCCTGCTCAGGAGACTCTGTGACCCGAGACTTGGCTGATTCCTGCCCATCTCTCACCTCTTCCTGCTCAGAAAGGGGGTCACAGACTGCTGAAGGAATTCTCACCATCTTGATCCTTAAAAATATTTTATCTTGTCTCGGTGATTCTAGCTCTAAGATATTTATTTTTTCTAATTAGACTGTTTAGGTGTGTAGATGTGAAATGAATATTGTACTGTGAAGAGTTATACTCCTTCACTTGGCAAAGCAAGCTGGCTTTATCCCCAAGCTCCTTTGTCATCAACTATTTGGCCATCTCTGTTTCTGTGCCAACATCTGCTTGTGTTTTACCCTGATCTTGTTAACCTGGTCCACCGATTTTAAACCTCCATGTTGGGATGAGAGCAAGGTGGTGTTGAAATCCAGAAACACCCAAACACTGCTCTTCAGCCCAGAGCCCCCAGTAGAAATAATGTGCCCATACGAGGTGGAGTATGTCAGAGATGTCAGCCAAGGCCTTCAAGTGGGAAGCCATGAGGACCTGGGGAAGAGCCCAAGCCACACTAGTCGCCTTGTAGGGGTCCTCCCATTGTAGGGCAGTGAGAGGAGCCGAGGGAAGGTGTGGGCCAGACTGGGGGCAGCTGCCCCAAGCCTTCTAAGGCCTCAGCAGGGGCAGGCATTGGGTGGGCCAGAGTGAGGAGAGAGACTTCTCCTTAGAGTAGTCTACCGACCTCAAGGAAACACCTACCCCTGGTCCCGGGTGAGACTTCCTCTCTCTCTAGAAGCAGAGAAGACCCCGTCTCCTCACCCACCCCTCCCCCCCCCGCCACCCTCCGGAGGACACAGGGATCTTCATCATTTCTTAAAAAAAAAAAAAAAAAAAAAGGCTGAAGTGGGTGTTTGATTTTTCAGTTACAGTTTCTAACTCCCATCAGCAGTTTGGTGAAATGGCTTTTCCTGCTTACTCTTAAGGAGTCTGTGGTCCTAATGTGTATTTGGTGCTTTTGCTACTTGGCAGAGAGATCATAGATAACACCAGCAAAGAGAACGGGATTGACATCATCATGGCCGATAGGACCTTCCACCTGATCGCCGAGTCCCCAGAAGATGCCAGGTGAGACACAGCTGTCGACTGCCCGCAGACGACGTCCTCACCCCTGCTCAGGCCTCGGCCACCCACCCGGCTCTGAAAAGACTGTCCTTGATTCTCTGGTTGGGCTTTTCTGTTAAGATGGTTGAAGAACTGAGTCATGAGATTGACGTGCTTGTCCCCTGGGCAATCTTCCGCTGGGCTAAGGTGTCCAGGTACCACACACAGCCCAGGGTTTCCAGCTTTGAATGCCACTGGACAGACCCCTTGTTATCTCGGCTCAGGCTTTTACTGTCCCCAACCGTGCAACCACACAGAGCTGCAAGCCCACCCTCTGGAAGCTTCTGAGCTTTGACAGGGAACAGCTTGTGTTTGCTTAAGGATTGAGAAAGCAAGGGCATTAACCCCTGATTGTTTAAATAAACGATAGCACTGTGGCTTTCGAGGAGGATTTAGGGTCTTCATATTGAAGAATTCAGTAGGACAGAAGAGATGGTTAACACCAGTAAAAGAATTACTGTATTTCAGGCAATATTCTGAAATGCTTCACATATATTAACCCATTTAATTCTCACAGCCGCCCTACACGGTTAATAGCATTATTACCATTATTACCGTGACCCACATTTTACAGAGTAGGAGACTCAGGTAGGAGAAAGGGAAGTATAATTTGTAAAGTCACAGAAGCTCAATTCTACTGAACGGAGGCATTACGTTTCTTATATTTCTTAAGGAGCTTAAATCTTTGACCAAGCTCAGAGGACACTGTGGTTGGTGTCCATTGGCTGGATCAAGTGGTCTCACTTTCCTGGACCTCAGGTTTCCATCCTCGTGCTGGGCAGGTGTGGTAAAAAAGGAGAACTGGTATCTGCTCCCCAGAGTGATGCATCACAGGGTCACACAGCGGATGAGATAGAGCAGAACATCTCTTTCTCCTGCTGCTTTGTGAGCCACAGGGCTGTGTTGGAGGTATCTGTCCTCCCCTCTGAGCAATGTCAGGGAGCATCGTCAATCTATAGCCTTTACTTTTGAGCTCCGAAATCCTTCGAATCTTGTAATGAATTCTCAGTGCCTTTCGCTACTACCCCTTTGCCCTTTGAATGTTTGAGTTGATAGAGCACCATGGTAGCAGCTTTAAGGGCAAAGAAAATAATTCTTCCCATGGGAACAAACTAAAACCCTGCTTGGATCCATAAATTATGACACAGACTGGAAAAACAAGTAAACCTGGAATTATAGTCCCGTCATTCCATCTGGGACTCCTAGAGACCGCCTGTGGTTGGTTGTGGTCTGTGGAATGCCTACAGCTTCTCAGCTGAATTATAGGCCCAGCGTTTGGGAGCCGTCCTCTCTTTTTTGGGCCATAATGACCTGCTAAATTTAACATTGGGGGCTTTTTTTTTTTTTTTTAAGTAGGCTCCACACCCAGCCTGGAGCCCAGGGCGGGGCTTGAACTCCCCGGCCCTGAGATTAAGAGAGCTGAGATCAGGAGTCAGCTGCTTAACCAACTGAGCCACCCAGGGGCCCCAACATTTGTGATAGTTTAACTGAGGCCTTCTTTTCTTGACCAGTAGAAAACATTTTTTAAAATTCCTTTTCAGATGGAGTTAAACTTGATTCAGGAGGAGAAATATGTAAATTTAAGAGTGTCACCTGAACAGAATGAAAGGCCAGCAAATTTTATTTGTGTGTGTGTGTGTGCACGCGTGTGGGTGTGAGAGAGAAAGAGAGCTCCCGTGTGGCCTCCATCTTGAACATATGTGTTTTTCAGTGTTTGATTTGGGAAATTTTTGAGCTTCATAAAACAGTGACTTAAGTCTTGCCTTTGAGTTCATCAGAATTGATGAAGCAAGTGTATATTGAGATGTTTCCCTTGGTTTCCCTAGGAGTCTGTTTATGTTGCCTATTTTCAAGCTCTTGGTCACATTTTTCTCCTTTAGGAATCAGAGGAGATGGATTTTAGTGCTTTGCTATAGAGACATGACTTACCCTTTATATAGATATGCATTTTTTGCTTAAATATTCCATCATATACACCAAATACTTTGTCCTCTGCCATACTTAGTAGGAGCGTGTATATAGGTCTTATTAGCCTCTGCAGGAGAAGGCTATCCCTAGCATCTCACATTTGGCACCTCCTACATTTTATAGTTGCTTGATAAATGTTGGATGGATGGATGGATGGATGTGTGGCTATTTGTGGTCATTTTTCCTCAAGCCTATATTGTGTTTCTAGGTACATCGTGACTTTTGTTCAGCTTGACTTTTCTGGGGTTGTCCTGTTTTCCTTTGTTGTCTGATTCTAATGAGACTGTAAGTGAGAAAACTCATTTGAGGTGAAGATAGAAGAGTTCTCCAGTCAAAAAAACCTTTCCACTTTGTTCTTCAAGCAATTGTTGTTTTTTTTTTAAAGATTTTATTTATTTATTTGACAGAGACACAGCGAGAGAGGGAACACAAGCAGGGGGATTGGAGAGGGACAAGCAGGCTTCCCGGGGAGCAGGGAGCCCGATGCGGGGCTCAGTCCCAGGACCCTGGGATCATGACCTGAGCCGAAGGCAGACGCTTAATGACTGAGCCACCTAGGCGCCCCCAAGCAATTGTTTTCTGTTTCCAGCTCTCCTATGGTTTTATTCTTACTTAAGTAGAAATCCTATCAGGTGGGGCACCTGGGTGGCTCAGTTGGTTAAGCAACTGCCTTCGGCTCAGGTCATGATCCTGGAGTCCCGGGATCGAGTCCCGCATCGGGCTCCCTGCTCAGCGGGGAGCCTGCTTCTCCCTCTGGCCCTCCCCCCTCATGTGCTCTCTCTCATTCTCTCTCTCTCAAATAAATAAATAAAATCTTTAAAAAAAAAAAATAAAAAAAAAAAGAAATCCTATCAGGTGGCTGAAAACCCCATCCTGGAAACGAGCAGGGAAGATCGACCTCAGTGGCCATCTTGAGATGGTACTCTGACATCATTGGCCTTCTTACCTTGGAATTTACTTCTAAGAAATGAAAAGGCACTTGAATATTCCCTAGGTTATAGATAACATCCTCAATAAAGATCCTTGATGTAAGTATTTTGGGTGGCACTGAGGATTTCGTCATCCTCCATTCACCGTCTAGAGGTCTGGGGCAGCTGGAGGAGAGGATCTCCTGTTGATCTGAAATTGCAGCAGCTGGTATCTAAAACTTTGGCTGCTGCTTCTACCTTTGCCCATTGGTGGCATGAAACCCACGTTTACCCACGAGAAGTGTAGGCAGATTAAAAACAAAGTTGCTCAGAGGAAATGTCATTTTCGCAGAGAATGTGGAGAAGGGCATCGGTCACCATGTTGCCAATCCAGCAGTTGGCACCTCCTTGACAGTCACTCTCTCCTTCCCGCAGCCAGTGGTTCAGCGTGCTGAGTCAGGTCCACGCGTCCACCGACCAGGAGATCCGGGAGATGCACGACGAGCAGGCGAACCCACAAAATGCCGTGGTGTGTGAGCGTCGCGGGGTGGAGGGAGACGTCCCCAGGGAGGCGAGCGGCCTGGGAATTTCTAGACAATCTAAAGTAAAAGTGTAATAACTAAAGGAATATTTTGTTTAAAAATAATGCAGAAAAACAATTCGTTGAAGATTATAAGTAGTAATAGATTCCAGTCCTCCCGCTTTAAACCATTAAAAGAACAACAACAACAAAAAATCCCGAGTTTTAGGAAATCATGGAAGCACATCATACTTCCCTTCAAAGGCCTTAGTGAATTCTAACTCGTGTTCTTTCGGTCTTCACTCTATCCTGGACACATAGCGAACCATAGAATCATATTTTAGAAATAAAGTTTTCTTTTCTCCTAAGAACAACTTCACATCGAAGTTTCTTAGTGGAATACATCTAAATTTAGGGATGGATCCTAGTGTAAGTCAGAAAATTTGTGCTATTGAAAGAAGTTTGAAACACTTTTCACTGAAAGTATCCGAAAAACAAGACAAAGATTAATTTATAATTTTTTTTTTAAATGAGTGAACTGTAGATCTGCCCTGTCTAGAGTAGAGGCTGTCTGTACTCACCAGCTGAAGGGGGACCTTTCTTAGATAGCCATTATTTTACAGTTAATGCAGAAAGGAGGAGTGTTTTTTGTTTGCTTCTTTAGAGAGCCATAACCTAGGGATGTTAGGGTCATATGTCTGTACTTAAGTGGTTCTCTTCCCCCCCGTTTTTGCTCCTTTCCAGGGCACTCTGGATGTGGGGCTGATTGATTCCGTGTGTGCCTCCGATAGCCCCGATAGGTAAGTTGGGGTGTGACTCAGCAGAAGGAATTAGTAACCTGCAGTCTCCCCCAGCTCTCTCTGCTTCTGGGCCACTTTCTTCTTTTCTGGGCCATGAAATGATTCTGGGCTGTGTGTTGACATCTGGTCAGTCCCAGGCTTCTTTCTTTGTGCCCAGTTTTACACCATCCAGAAGTCTTGCTCTCTGGGTATCTTTGGGATGCTGGGGGAGACTGTGGAAACCTAATTTAAACAATTAAAAACATACACACAAGAGGAATATTCTTCATTTAGATACAGGGATCGATCCAGGATTCACAGAGGAGGAAAATGTCTGCTTAGGAAAACAGTATTCCAGCGTAGGGAAGCGTGTCTTTCCCTTTTCCAAACTTGATAATGAACTTAAAAAGGATTTGATTGTAATTTATATGTAGAGTATTAATAAATTAAACCACAAAGATTTTTCCTTGACGTTTCCATCTTATCTGTGCCCTTTAGATAGCATGTTTTGGTTTTGTCTTTTTTGAAGGGAAATCATCTTCGTGGATGCCCTCAGGAGTCTGTACTATCGACTTTTGTCTTTATCTTCTCTATTTTTCTTTGCTGCCATTTGAATTCCGAGTAAGAATCAGAATTGGCTTCTGCCTTCAGGAGTATAGCTTTAGAAAGTGAATAGAAATGTATTCCAATTGACAAGAAAAATGGTGCCAACTAGGCAGAATTATGTGGAGTCTTCATCAGCCTGTTGACAGAGGCTCTTCTGAATCATAGACCCTTTATTTCTGGTATCACCCTGCGCCATCCTACACCTGGCTCGGGGACCTTAACAAGTATGTTTTGTCAATGGCCCAAGATTTTATTCTGAGGGTCAAGTTCCCACCCTCTCTCCATCTGTCTCCTCCTAAACCCCTTCTCTGTAGCAGGCTGGGTATATGAGGATCCATGCTAGAACCTTCCATCGCTGCTCAGACCCTTCTCTCCCTCAAGTGCCCTCCTTTCTCCCTTCCAGACTATAGAAAAGTCTTTTATTTTGAAAGAGCACCCGTCTTTCCCTGTCTACTACAGTCCCATTAATCTTGCTTTTTCTTGAATTTCTGCAGCACTTAGCTACTGTAAACATTTGAAAACCTGTAAGAAATCATTCACAAGTCACTAGCTTAAGTGGTTAGATGCAGGAATTAGTAGGAGCAAGGGCCTAGGAGAGATTCAGGGCATTGCCAGACAAAGAGATGAGGGAGAAAGTAAATTTCCATTATTATGTTACCCCTGATTGGGAAACGAGCCTTTGTTAGATTGCTTTGAACACGTGGACCCAGGTGGCTTTTAGTAGCAAGCATAATCGAGTGCATAAGATGTTCCGTTTACACCTATTTACGGATCTTCTTTTATTATTGGTGTCTGACATTTCATTACCGACCCACAGAAATATCATCCAAGGCAATACCCAGAGGCAGAAAGAAATTTACTTTGGAAAGGCATCAAAAAAAATTTTCCCCCACCGTCACCTTACTTAGCTTTCCCTAAACCAAGTGTCATCTGGAAAGTTTTGCATGAAGAAATCTTTCCCCTTCCAGGGCCTTCAGAATGTGTGGCTCTAAGTTTAAAGGTTAATGATGCAGAAAATAAATCTTGCAGAAATGAGCAAGAGTTGCCTTAGCATAAAAATACAAACAGCACTGCAGTTTTCAATCCCTGTGACCATACGCCAGGAAAAAGGCATCTGATCTTGCTTCAGACAGGTGATGTTGCCGGGAGAGCTAAGAGTCTTTGCTTCCTTCCTGCCCTGTCGCTCAGACCCAATTCGTTTGTGATCATCACGGCCAACCGGGTCCTCCACTGTAACGCGGATACGCCGGAGGAGATGCATCACTGGATAACGCTGCTGCAGAGATCCAAGGGCGACACCAGAGTGGAGGGCCAGGAATTTATTGTGAGAGGTGACTGCCACCACAGCTTTGCTTTGTCATGGAGCTCTGTTCTCCTTTGCGTAGATACTGCAGCATTTCCCGCGTGAGCAGCTTTTCTGAGGAATTTTGACTCTTGGAGTTGCTTAAAAAAAAAAAAAAATCACGTAAGAAGTGGCCATGGATGGCCCTTTCCAGCAAATATGTAGAAGTAGGACCCATCTGTAAGCCTCCCGCAAATTACTACTTGGTATTTGGGGTTTCTCGTCGTCGTTTTTAATTGACATTTTAATCTCTCTTTCCAGGGTGGTTGCACAAAGAAGTGAAAAACAGTCCAAAAATGTCTTCACTGAAACTAAAAAAGCGGTGGTTTGTGCTCACCCACAATTCCTTGGATTACTATAAGAGCTCCGAGAAGAATGCTCTGAAATTGGGCACGTTGGTCCTCAATAGCCTCTGCTCGGTGGTGCCTCCGGACGAGAAGATCTTCAAAGAGACAGGTAACAGGGCCCCGTGTCCGTGACGAGCCTGGCTTTGCTCAGATCAAGGGAATGAGTTTGCTGCCTGGAGTGTGTGCCACGGTTTTTCCCCCAAAAGAAGCTCATTTCTTGTTGATTTATCTTCTGAGGCCATCGGTGGTTAGCTCTGTGGACACTTAGTATTGAACCCATAGTAAAGAAGTCCTGCTTAATTGAGTTGCACAGGTGTTCTTAGGACCACACAAAAACAAAGATTCTCCTATGGTGAGCTCTTTTCCATCCCTGTGTGGGTGAGAGTCCTGACACAGCCCAAGAAAGCTAAATCCTGACTGTCCCTGAGCTTATTAACCTAGAATAAAAAGCAGTCATGTTAGCTTAGTTTTATTCTTGTCAATATTATGAAAATATTTCTCGATTGAGTTTTGTTGAGTTTGTTGAGTTTTAGTTATGATTTTGTGCTTTTAATTTTTTAAGTTTTTTTTATTTGAGAGCGCACATGAGCAGGGGGGCGGGACAGAGGGAGAGGGAGAAGAAGTCTCCCCACTGAGCAAGGAGCCGGATCTGGGGCTTGATCGCAGGACCCTGGGATCATGACCCGAGCCAAAGACAGACACTTAACCGACTGAGCCACCCAGGTGCCCCGATTTTATGCTTTTTTAAATATAGCTCCTCTGTTCCAAATGACCGCTTGTTTCAGGACACACACACTGCTTGCTTAGCAGAAGTGCTTTCTTCTCAAGGGAGAGGCTAAGGAAAGGAAACCAACAGGAAGGGAGAAGGAGCGTCAGAGAGGGAGGGGAAGCGTTGTCACTCTGGTTCCAGACCCGTGAAAGTGACTTAGTTTCTGCCTATTTTTCTTTCAGAGCAAATGTTACCATTTATTTATTTTTAAAGATTTTTTTTCTTTATTATTATGTATTTGAGACAGAGAGAGGGCGCGAGCGCAAGCAGGGAGAGCGGCAGGCAGAGGGAGAGGGAGAAGCAGGCTCCACGCGAGCAGGGGAGCCGGACGTGGGGCTCCATCCCAGGACCCCGGGATCGTGACCTGAGCCGAAGGCAGACGCTTAACCCGCTGAGCCGCCCAGGCGCCCCTGTTTTACCACTGATACATTTAATCCCGGGTTTCATTGTTTTATGTTTATCTTTGCATCTCAACCCGAAGCTCCTCGTGTGGGTGGGTAGGTGGGTTACCTCGCACACTTGGGAATTCAGCGAGAATTGTTGAATTGCTTAACGAGAAGGGCTCCGAACGCCCGCTTGCCCGCTTGCTGGGTTGCGGGGTTGCCAGGTTGCCGGGTTGCCCGGTTGCCCAGTTGCCGGGTTGAGGGGTTGCCGGGTTGCCCGGTTGCCGGGTTGAGGGATTGCCGGGTTGCCTGGTTGCCAGGTTGAGGGGTTGCCGGGTTGCCCATTGCGGGGTTGCCGGTTGCGGGGTTCCCGGGTTGAGGGGTTGCCCGGTTGAGGGGTTGCCCGGTTGCGGGGTTGCCGGGTTGCCGGGTTGAGGGGTTGCCGGGTTGCCCGGTTGACAGGTTGCCGGGTTGAGGGGTTGCCCGGTTCCCGGGTTGAGGGGTTGCCCGGTTGAGGGGTTGCCCGGTTGCGGGGTTGCCGGGTTGCCCGGTTGCGGGGTTGCCGGGTTGCCCGGTTGCGGGGTTGCCGGGTTGCCCGGTTGACAGGTTGCCGGGTTGAGGGGTTGCCGGGTTGCGGGGTTGCCCAGTTGCCGGGTTGAGGGGTTGCCGGGTTGCCCGGTTGCGGGGTGGCCGGGGGGCGCGCCCCCGTGCGGGGGGTGACGCGCTGTGCGTGCGCTCTTCTGCAGGCTACTGGAACGTCACCGTGTACGGTCGCAAGCACTGCTACCGGCTCTATACCAAGCTGCTCAACGAGGCCACCAGGTGGTCCAGCGCCATCCAGAATGTGACGGACACCAAGGCCCCGATCGACACCCCCACCCAGCAACTGATTCAGGACATCAAGGTACGGCGGACCCGAGCTCAAGGGCTGGGTCACGGTAGCTCGCGGGTTCCCCCCCACCCCCCCTTGGAACATTGGGACGTCGGTCAAGCTCCATTTTTATTCCGTCACCAAAACTAACTTTTGATTAATTTTCTGTTAGAATATCACGGCTTTTAGAAATCGAAATGTGAGTGCTTAGGTGAAATTTGACACTAGAAGTACTTTGTCTTCAGGGAGGCGTCAGATGTTGCTGCCGAGGCAAACCCGGATGTTAGATGGCCTGTGGTTGGGGTGTGGGCTCCCCATCCCAGGGACATGGTGTGATCTGTGTGGGGATGACCTGCTGCCACGGGATGCCCTTGAGCCCTGGGGTGGGGACCTTCTCAGAGCAACACAGTGATTCTCCTCTTACTGTACAGTGACCGGACCACACAGCGGGGGTCACCAGCAGCCTGGATTGGTCTAGAAAACTTGGAATCTTTATAGGCACCTCCAAACTCACAGGAAGCTTCCAAGTCTCTGGACCAACATTGACATTGTTAAATTGTAATTTCGTTTCATAAAGATGAATTGCTCAGGGAGTATACATTGAACGGATGATTACATGGCAGCCATGCACAGAGATGCCACACTCATTTTTCAGGAATGGAAACAGAGACGTGGAATATTCTGGTTGCGTTGTTCACGTAGCTGGTCAGTCCCTGATGCAGAACCAGGTCAAGGGGATTATTTTTACTGCTGTTCCTCTTGGTTACCATCAGATAGATTCCCAATACCAAGCAAAGAGCTGGAATAGTGACAGAAAAGATTTGAGAATGCTAGCAAGACAGGTGTTTACTGATCTACATCAAAGGAAATTAGCTCATCAGATCCAGGAGGCCAGCTAGATTTCACGGAGGTGGGAGAGGGTCTAATATGTCCATAGGATATCATTTCCCACTGAATTCAAGTCTGCCTGTGGATTCCAAAGTGGTGTGTTTTCTGGGTATTTGGAGCTAAATTCCACGAAATCAGATATTCTCCAAAACTCTGCAGAGCTTTCCATGAAACCCAGGATGCTAAATACTAGCAATTTCATTTTTAGCATTAAAAAAAATTTGAAGGTTTTTTTGAGAAAGCGAAAACACATCACTGAACTTTCTCTTCAAAGCTGTGTCTTCTCTATTCCTATGTTCTCTAATTTGAAATCTGTCATTAAAAGAGTAATAGAATTTTCCAAATATGAAACAGTCCTTTTTAAAAAATTAGGTTGCCCTAATTAAGCCCATATAGAATTGTTGAAATAAAGTTTTTTTTTTTTTCCTGGCTTTCAATTGGGTGTTATTAAAAAAAAGTTTCATAGTGGAAATTACCACAATAGAATGATTCGTTACCTCTCCTCCAACTTTTCTGTTTGTTTAACGTTCTAAAAGGACTTTGCCTTTTTCGAATCCCAAATTAACATTTTAGGAGCATAAGTACATGATGAATTTCTACGAAGGGATCTCTTAAATTTCAGGAAAGAGGTTAGGCATGTTGAACAGTCTCTCTAATAACATATCAACATGTGTAATTTTCAGGTGTAGAGAAAATACAGAAGATCAAGTAAAGAACGAAAACAATGTTTTAAGCAAATTATAGATGAAAATACATGGCTTGCTAAAATGTTTGATGGCTAAATAGCAAAAGAACTTTAATTCTTTGAAGTATATATAATCTCCAGGAGAAAATATATACACATGAAATGAAGAGAATGAGCTGTGTGTGAGAAAAATGTGATTTGTGATTTGTCTTCAAACGGATTATGGGTATCTTCGTGCTTGAAATTTTTTTTTTAAGATTTATTTGAGAGAGAGACTGCACGGGCAGAGGGAGGGGGAGAGGGGGAGGGAGAAGCAGACTCCCCACTGAGTACAGAGCCAGACTCTGGGGTCGAGCTCACAACTTTGAGATCATGACCTGAGCCAAAACCAAGAGACGGATGCTTAACCAACGGAGCCACCCAGGTCCCCCTAAATTATTACTATTTTTAAGTAGGCTGCATGCCTAGCATGATGCCCAGCATGGAACCCAGCGCGGGGCTTGAACTCACGACGCTGAGATCAAGACCTGAGCTGAGATGAAGAGTAGGATGCTTAACCAACCACCCAGGTGCCTCCGTGCTTGAAATTATTAATGCTAGATTCTCTAGTATCTCATGGATGCTTTAGACGCTGGAGAATGTTCATGTGTGGGAGAACACATGCTGGGGCACCTGGGTGGCTCAGTCGGTTAAGCTCCTACTCTCTTGATTTCAGCTCAGGTCATGACCTCAGGGTTGTGAGATCGAGCCCATGTTGGCTCCACTCTGGGCATGGAGTCAGCTTGAGATTCTCTTCCTCCACCCCTCCCCACCTGCTCGTGCTCTAGAAAAATTTTAGGAAAAAATACAGATGCTTTTGTTCTTGTACACATGCGTGTTTTGGATAAGCTTGCCTGCTTGACCGGGTCCTCTGTTTTCAAGGAGAACTGCCTGAACTCCGATGTGGTGGAGCAGATTTACAAGCGGAACCCCATCCTCCGCCACACGCACCACCCCCTGCACTCCCCGCTGCTGCCCCTGCCCTACGGAGACATAAACCTGAACTGTGAGTGCCCAGCCCCTCCCATACTCCGCGGTGGACACGATTCTGTTCGCCCTCGTCACTCCTTAGCTCGGTCACGTAGCGTTGTTGTCTGTGGCGATGCATGCACTGTTGAACTAAAAGAACAATTTTAGAGGGAGGCAGGAAATGCCAGCCCTCCTGCAAACTCAGAGTCGCCTGAATTTACTAGAGAACCAGCTCCTGAGAGTCTTACATTACAAATCGGGAACCTGTTTGGCAACCGACCAACTTTTTAAGCAAGCATTTTGTAGAATAAAATAGTTCAGTTATGTAACAAATCAGCATAACTTGCCCACCTCTGTGTTTTGACAGCGTTGTTCGCCTGAGTCGAAGGTTCAGGGAACGTGGCGAGCACCGCGTCACGAAGCTGCCGTCTGTCCCCATTCCTTCCCCTTGGGTTTGTGCTGCTCAGATTGTAGCATGTCCAGGCCTTGCATCTAAAGGCTTCTGTGTGTGTGCTTCTCCTAGTGCTCAAAGACAAAGGCTACACCACCCTTCAGGATGAAGCCATCAAGATCTTCAATTCCCTCCAGCAGCTGGAAGCCATGTCTGACCCCATCCCCATAATCCAGGGCATCCTGCAGACGGGGCACGACCTCCGCCCTCTGCGGGACGAGCTGTTCTGCCAGCTCATCAAGCAGACCAACAAAGTGCCCCATCCGGGCAGCGTGGGCAACCTCTGCAGCTGGCAGATCCTGACGTGTCTGAGCTGCACCTTCTTGCCGAGCCGGGGGATCCTGAAGTACCTCCGCTTCCATCTGAGAAGGTACGAGACAGCCCGATCCAGGCGCTCACTCAGGTGCTGTGCGGCCCCGTGGCTCGGAGGAAGAGGACGGGAAACAAGACGCCTAGTGTGGTCGCACTCGTGGGTCCCTTGAACCAGCCAACACAGGGTCGCGGTGTCCTCTCTAAGCCAAGCCACACAAGGCTGTGGCGGGGACCAGGTCCCTTTCAGTGTAGTGTCCTAACGTCTAAGATGTGGAGTCCATTTAATTACCACCACCTGTATAAATGGCGGCGGGGCGGGGGGAAGCCTGGATATTTGGATCCAGATCAAATAGGTAGAAACATTCTGATTCAGACTGACGACCCATGGAAAAAAGATTTTCATCCAATGGTATGAGACATGGCTCTCAGCAAGCCTGCAGCTGCTCCCCATCCAACCCTGGCTCACTGGGATTTTTTTTTTTTTTTTTTTTTATTGTTTGCATTTAAACAAAACCTGCACAGAAAGTGGCTGGTGTTTGCTCTGCACCCTGGGGGGCCCCCTCGGTGCCTTCGTGGGCAGCGCGCTGAAAGCATCGGGCTCCCAGACGCCAGCCAGCCTCAGTCTAGCAATTAACAGTGAAGTGTTTGTCTCCTAGGATACGGGAACAGTTTCCAGGAACCGAGATGGAAAAATACTCCCTCTTCATTTATGAATCTCTCAAGAAAACCAAATGCAGAGAGTTTGTGCCTTCCCGAGATGAAATAGAAGCTCTGATCCATAGGCAGGAAATGACGTCCACAGTGTATTGCCACGGGGGAGGCTCCTGCAAGATTACCATCAACTCCCACACCACAGCCGGGGAGGTGAGGGAGAAGCCCCTGTCTGATACCTAACTGCGATGCACACAAGTCAGGAAAGTTGTACACGGTTAGGGGGGCTACCGTGTAGTTGTGACGTGCATAGTGTAGCAGCTCAATAAACAAGATGGAACCTACACCCAAACTCACGTATCGAGATAAAAATATGTATCAAAAATGAGTAGAAACACAAAAATTAAGCTGGTGCCAAAAGAGCTGAGACCTAATCCTGCTAATGTAAGAAGCAGGTGCGTGTGGGTTTATCATAGCATCTCTCCAATAAGGGGTCTCTGTTTGCCATGCAAATATCTACAATGATGTGTCAGATGAGCACATTTTTTTTTCCTTTTTTAAAATTGAAATTTAGCATTCTAAAACCAATTGGCTAAAAGGAGTAGGGCAATAAAATCCAGAGAAGCTTCTGGCATGGAAAGGAGAAACATCGGTGGAAGCCATTGTTTCTTGGAAGTTGATGAATGTATCCGATGAAAGAGAGGGCTTCAGTTTTTGTGTGCCTTTCCTGCTAGTGTGGGTTTGCGAGAACTTTGCCTGGTGTCTGTCTCTACCAGTGGGCAAAATGTTCTGCATTCTTTTTTTTTTTTTTTTTTTTTACAAAGACAAGAGAAATCTGATTTCTAGGGAACAATGGAAAAACAGCACTTTTGAAATTCTATGTGACCACACATGACAGTGGGGGGAGCTGCTTGGACCCTCGCGTGTCGGCAGCTCGCTGGGGGCTCTGGTGAGAAGGCACATTCCAGAACCACGTGCTGGAAGCTGAAGACCTCGGGGTGTATCTTGCAGGTGGTGGAGAAGCTGATCAGAGGCCTGGCCATGGAGGACAGCAGAAACATGTTTGCCTTGTTTGAGTACAACGGAAGCGTCGATAAAGCCATTGAAAGCCGAACCATCGTAGCGGACGTGTTAGCAAAGTTTGAAAAGTAAGTTCCTTCTCCCTGGAGTGCCAGCAGATGAAATAAATTAAGAGCAAGAGTTGAGGATCTGAATTTCCATTCGTTTTTGGCTTCAGTGTGCATTTGAGTTCCTATTCTTTTACTTGTGTTGAGGCACGTTCAATTTTTCATCTCCCCCTGCTGCCTGTTTTTCTTAATTCCTAGATAAAGCCCGTCTCAAGTAAGATTCAGCTCGCCATTGTTTTTTTACCCCATTCGTTCAATCCCCTGTTGTACACACTGCCTTGGAATTTCCTGATTCTAGGCTTTTCACTTGTCATTGGCTTCGAAACGGGGCCAGCAGACACAAGCAAACTCATACACTCTTCAAACTGCATTTTATATCTCACGCACCTGTGATATTCGATCTAGGACTTTCTTATCCCCTAAGTAGCACAAAAGATATTCCTGTTCAATATAAGCACAGCCTCCATAATATTCGTGCTGATTTTTGTAAATATTGTCGTTTATTTGAGGGTTAGTAAAGGGAATGAAGATAGAGCCTTTGTTTCTTTTCTGGCTATGGATTCAGCATAACGTTTAGCCAGTACTAATTTGCCTGGGGCCTGCAGAAAATCCTTTTTAGCACAGTGTAATTGAAGGCTGCCCATTTGTTGTCTTAAAGTGAGACCAAAATGAAAGTGTGTTTTTCACTTCTGGCCAAATACAGTTAGTAAAGAATGAGTCATCTAAAGTCAATTCCTTGTGGCACCGAAAGGCCATTTCTCTTGCTTTCTGAACCTCCCTTGCCTTCTGTCCGTAGGCTGGCTGCCACATCAGAGGTGGGGGACCTGCCCTGGAAATTCTACTTCAAACTTTACTGCTTCCTGGACACAGACAACGTGCCAAAAGACAGCGTGGAATTTGCGTTTATGTTTGAACAGGTAGAAGAACTTTCAGAAACGGATTCCTCTGCTGGGGAACAGGGGTGAAACCTGTTCACACTCTTCTTAAGTTCGTGGTTGGTCCGGAGGGGTGAGGCATGGCGGTACATTTCCCAGCATGCCCGAGGCGGCTGCTCCTTCATGCATCTCTAGAACGAAACCACAACACATGCTGTCTGAGGTCCTGTGCCAAGACCTGTTCTAGCTGGGAGGAGAGAGACATTAAGGGATAAAATATGTGTTAGATGCCGTCTGTGCTGGGGAGAGATTTCAAGCAGCAAAGCAGGGGAGGGTACAGTTGTCAGGGAAGGTGACATTTGGAGGGAGATGCTGATGGATTTTGGGTCACACACCCCTAACATTGCTGCCTCCTTTCAGGCCCACGAAGCGGTTATCCGCGGCCACTACCCAGCCCCCGAAGAGAACCTGCAGGTCCTTGCTGCCTTGCGGCTCCAGTACCTGCAGGGGGACTACTCGCTGCACGCCTCCGTGCCGCCCCTCGAGGACATCTACTCCCTGCAGAGACTGAAGGCCCGCATTAGCCAGTCCACCAAAAGCTTCACCCCATGCGAGCGGCTGGAGAAGAGGCGGACGAGCTTCCTGGAGGGGACACTGAGGCGCAGCTTCCGGACAGGGTCTGTCGTCCGGCAGAAGGTCGAGGAGGAACAGATGCTGGACATGTGGATCAAGGAGGAGGTCTCCTCGGCTCGGGCCAGTATCATTGACAAATGGAAGAAGCTGCAGGGAATGGGCCAGGAACAGGCCATGGCCAAGTACATGGCCTTGATCAAGGAGTGGCCAGGCTACGGGTCGACGCTCTTCGATGTAGAGGTGAGGACTGACGGCTGCTTCTCGTTAGTGCGGCCGTGGCCAAGTACATAGGGCGGGACGACAAGATAGAACCTTTGCTCTCTAGCCCCTTTTGTTAGAGCAACACCCCCACCCCCCATGCTTTACCATTAGCACACCCTCTCATCCACCAAAAGTTTTTTCCTCTCTTGTAGTAAATGCTTCCACTGTATTAGGAGTGAATGGAAAATTAAGAGGTCACCTATTCTTAAGTAACTTCTTTCTTACTAAAGCCACAGATCGATCCAATTAACAAGTGCTGGTAAAAATCATTTAAAATTAAAAAAAATTTTTTTTAGAATTATGTACATGAAATTAGAAACTTCGGATACAGTTGACCCTTGAACAATGCAGTTGAAAATCCATGAATAACTTTTGACTTCCTAAAGTGTAACTACGAATAGCCTGCTCTTGACCGAAAGCCTGACCAATAACGTAAACACTCAACACATATTTTGCATGTTACATGTTACATACATACTGTATTCTTACACGAGAGCTAGAGAAAAGAATATTGAGAGAATCCTAAGGAAGAGAAAATACATTTACAGCCCTCTACTGTATTAAAAAAAAGAAATCCACCTGTCAGTGGACCCTCGAAGTTCAAACCCATGTTGTCAAGGGTCAGCTATACCTGGATTTTACATTTAGTTCTTTCCCCATGAATATCTGTTTGCAGGGAAGAATTTTTTTCACAAATGGAATTTAGCCATTAGCGGTAACCCATACTGATTCATATCCCCCCCTTTTTTTAAGTAGACCATTTATTTATTGTTAAAGGTTTTATTTATTCATCTGTCAGAGAGCACAATTGGGAGGAGCAGTGGGCAGAGGGAGAAGCAGACTCCCACTGAGCAGGGAGCCCGATGCGGGACTCATCCCAGGACCCTGGGATCATGACCTGAGCCGAAGGCAGACGCTTCACCAACTGAGCCGCCCAGGCGCCCCTTAAGTAAACCATTTACTGAAAGGAAGTCTTACCAGTGCTCTAGATCAAGGCTTGGCAATCTGTGTGCCACATCCTGCCTGCCTTCTTTTATCACGATTTATTGGAACACAGCAATATTCCTTCCCGTCTCTGCCTCCTCCGGCTGCTTTCACACTAACATAGCGGCATTGCGTAGCTGTTGACAAAGACCCCGTCCATGGCCCGTGACACCTAAAATATTGCCTCCCTGTCCCTTAACGGTTAAGTTTGCCAGCCCCTGGTCTAGATGAGCTTTCAGTTTTCTTCTCACAATCCCATTCAGCGTGTTTGGTATCTGATGCCTTTTAAATGAGGCTCTCTAAAAATCTAAGTATTGATTATATATTCCAAGATCCCTTCGTGGATTTTCATTGGATGCTATGTTTGGTTGCTGGGTTGGTTCAGTTAGGTTTGTTTCTAGGTGTAAATCAGGGGCTTTATACAACACCTCTTCTTCTCGGTGTCACTAATGTACATCCCTTGTACCCACTTCTCATCCCTGAATTGGGGCTCTTGCTTCCCAGCACCAATCCATGCAGGGAAGCCCGTCGTTAAACCAGTGACATTCCTGTTAACCTCCGTGCACACAAGAGGTCATTGCTGCCTCTTGTCAAGAATCCTGAGTGACTCAGTCAGTAAAGCATCTGCCTTGGCTCAGGTCATGGTCCCAGGGTCCTGGGATCGAATCCCACATCGGGCTCCCTGCTCAGCAGGGAGCCTGCTTCTCCCTCTGCCTGCCTCTCCCTCTGCCTCCCTCTTCCCCTGCTTGTGCTCTCTCTCTCCTTCTCTGACAAAATCTTAAAAAAAAAAAAAAAAAGAATCCTGTTTTCCAAGAGGAGCCAAACCGCTCAGCAGAGAGTGATTCTCTCTGAGAATTTTCCTCTGATACTAGATTTTGTATTGGAATAATGATCCAAAAAAAAAAAAAAAAGGATCGGAGGCAGAGCTAGGAATAGGAGACTGACTTCCGCTGCCGGGTTTGCTGGGGCAGCCGTTGTCAACTTCCCCCGGAGTAAGGTTATCAAAGGGTGGAGTCAAAGCCCGATGTCAGGATTCACCGATTGGGTTTTCCAAATGCCCGATATGGGTCAGCCAGTCAGAAATCAATCAGGCCTCCATGGGGAGACCACATGTCCTCTTTCGGTTCCCTGGGCACATGCACGTGTTGGATGCATACGGTGTTCTGCACAGAGTGCCTGACTCAGCCTCTCCCACATTCTCTGTTTCTTACTGCTTGCTGATGGGCCTCTGGTCCACAGTGCAGGGAAGGCGGCTTCCCCCAGGACCTCTGGCTGGGCGTCAGCGCGGATGCTGTGTCTGTGTACAAGCGTGGGGAGGGAAGACCGTTGGAAGTCTTCCAATACGAGCACATCCTCTCTTTCGGGGCGCCGCTGGCAAACACGTACAAAATCGTGGTCGACGAGAGGGAGCTGCTCTTTGAAACCAGTGAGGTAAGAAGGCAGCCACGGAAGTCATTTGTGGCCTTGACAAGAGAGAGAAACGCCCCATTTCCTGATGCCTTTGAGTAATTTTGGCTGTTTTGCTTTAAAACATGAAAATACAGCATGGTAGTCGCTTCCCAGCTGTCAGTGCCCCGAGGGCCAAAATCGAATCCTCCCAAATTTCTTCTCTACCTTTGCAGCCGAGAAATTTGGTTCCGTTCTACCAGTGGGTCTTACCCACGGAGGAAAGGAAATGATTTAGATGTCCAAAATATATATAGCGTGGCAAGGAAGCCTTGTGCCAATCAGCAGATGATGACGGCAGAGAACTGCAGCTGGAGGGAGCAAGGGGCATGACCGCCCGGGGCCTAGCGAATTCTGGCTCACAAAGTCACCCAAAAAAGAAGCCTCAGTGTGTGTGCCCTCTGCTCCAAAGCTTAAAATGTAATCCTCATCATGATAAACCCAAAAGCCTAGTGAGGGCTCCACTTAGGGAGCTTCCGGCAAGCAGAGGTAGAAAATGGAAATGAATGACCCACCAGCTTGGCTACTGCTGTAAAGTCCTGGGGAGGCGGCCAGGAGGGCGGGGGTGCGGGAGGCGGACTAGGCTAACGGGAGGGGAGCAGGGGCAAGGAAGGGGCTGGGCCTTTGACCGGAGGGTCCCAGGCGCCCGGCTGCCAGGCTTGGCCGACGCCAGTACACAGACGGAGCCACCGTGGGGGTCTCTGATGGTGCCTGGTGTGGTGCCGTGACCGTGCTAAGTGACGGGGGTGGGACTAAGAGGGAGGAGAGATGAGGGAAACAGAAGGCGGTCAGGACGCCCTAAGAGGGATGCAGGCCAGCAGGGGGGGGCAGCCCCCCGCCCCAGCCTCGCCCTGTGCTGCAGCTGCATCATGGGGCGGGGACGACACCGAGGAGCCAGTGTTTACCGGCTGTGATCGCGGGCTCGGTCGTTCGCCAGTATTTCAAGCGGGGATAGTAATCCCGGCCCTGGTGACTCCAACAGTGTCCTCAGGTGGGCTTGGTTTGCTTTAATGTGTAAAATCTGACAAGTGTACATCAGGCAGAATTGTCGTTTTCGCGTGAAAGCACCACCAGGTGGTGCCACGCTTCCCCTGCCCGCCGACGGGGAAGAGGGAAGAGCCGCTGAAGGTTCGGTCCGGGACAGAACCGGAGCCGTGGAGTCGCGCGGCTGGCTTCGGCCCGGCGACCGGCCCTCCCCGCCCTGCGCCCCCGCTGACCGCGCGCCCCTTCTGCTTCCCCCGGGCAGGTGGTGGACGTGGCCAAGCTCATGAAAGCCTACATCAGCATGATCGTGAAGAAACGCTACAGCACGTCGCGCTCCGTGAGCAGCCAGGGCAGCTCCAGGTGAAGGCGGGACGGAATCCCCGCGTCTCCAGCTTCGCGAGCGGCGGCCCTCTGGCCGGGCCGGCGCCTGCGCAGAGCCGGGTGAAGCCGCCCCGCCTCCCGGAAGCCCCTCGCCGGAGGGCGGGGCCTCCGAGGTCCTTCCGCCCTCTCAACTTCCGGGAGCCTGTATTAAGCGGTCAACCTTAACAGCCAGCCCCGTTTGGAAAGCTTTACTACTCCTAGATGTCACATGCCTTAAGAGAGAGAGGACAAACCCCCCTCCGCCTCCCCCCCGCCCCCGCCCCCGCCGCCAGAAGTGCCTTAACGTGTGGACCCAACACTAACTGACCTTAACTGCTACTGAAGGGAGATGCCCCCTCCTGCCATCTTGGGGGAGACTTAGAAAGCTTGGACGGGGAGGGGCGTTTATCCATCAATTCTGCACTAACCTCCCAGCCTGATGTCCCTACTTTGAGGGAAGGTGAGGGAGCGGGGAGGGGGGACAGAGGGAGCACAAGGGGACAGGATATTTTAGTCGGAGCGCTGCTGGCAGCCTTCCCTGTGGACGTAGATTAACTTCTTTTCTCTTTCACGTCTCTGTGCTTGCCTGTGCATGCATGTGTTCATAAACTCATCACTTTAATCATTGTCTCATGAGCATTAAAAGCAAAGGGAAAAGAGGATGTGCAATGGTGTAAACAGTCTGTCTGTATATTTTAATAGTTCAGAGTTCTAGTCTTCAATCGTTACTTTATAAGGTGGTTTTATTAACAGACCAGAATCTTGGATTTTCCTGTCTTTGCTGTATTTCGAAAACCACGTTTTGACTCCGTTTTGTTTTACGTGTAGCAAAGTCTGCACTCTGTCTGCTGTATTATAAACAGATATGCAGCCCATACAGATAATGGTATTTATAAACCACTCTGACTCCAATGCTGTTTTTAGAACTATATGAAGTCATTTTGGAGTCTTTAGTTTCTAAAAGATTTAAGTTAAAAAATTTCTTTGAAGGTGAGTTTGTATCGCTCCAGGTAGATGACCACATGACCACACTGGGTATGGTGGAAAGAAGCTTCATTCCCCAGGGGTATAATGTGCGAGCGAATCTTGAAAGGACCCTGACCATATAAATGCCGAGGCTTTAAGAAAATACATTTTATCCCAAGTTTATAATGATAGTCCAATAAGGTGCCTGTAAATAAATCAGCATTTGTGACCAGAAGAAAAATAATCTGGTCCTGGACTTTTATTTTTATATGGAAAAAAGTTGTAAAGACTTAGGCCAACTGAGTCTGCCCACAAAGAAAAAAAAAAATTGCCTTATCTTTCCTGGACAGCCCTGCGAAATCCTTGTTTGTTGGCTCAAAGAAAGTCTGACAATAAAAGATGTTAGCTATCTTGCAGTGTGTTTTCTTGAGCAGGGGGACCTGAAATACATCATGGGGTTGGAGTTTTTGTTGTTGGTTTGGTTTTAATGCTTTTGGCCTCAGTGTCAAAACTGTGTGTTTCGTAAGTTGATCACTAGGTCTTAAAGTGGACATGTAGACACACAGCACGACTCCAAGGAAGCAGAGAAGATAAAAGAAAGGATTCCATGAAACCCAGAAATCTAAGGCCTTGAAATGTGTGTTTATGTCAAATGGTCTCAGAGCCCCAAAACCTGTCTAATCGTGAAATCATGATCCTACAACCTGCTTGCAGCTGTGCTCACTGGGGAGAATACACAGGTAGGCTCTTGGGCCATGGATTTACCCAAAGAACTCAGGACATGGGGTCTGACCTGGGACGTGAGCAGTGCCAGTCCCCCGGATGTCCCTTTCTCTTCCACTGAATCCCACCACTGCTTGTGTCCAGAGTGCTGCCCCCCACCCACCCTCCATGGGGACTGGAAGTAAGTAAAGGCAGGTGCTGCTGAGCACCTGTGGGCTGCAGGTGATGAGAAGGAAGGTGAGCTAGACTCTGTGTTCTACTGCTGTCTTTGTTTTCATTTCTAGCCCAGAGGGAAGTTGGCAGAAGGGCCTCTTCCCTCCATGACTTGTACCCCAAAAGGCTGCCTCTCCCCTAGTTGCATATGAAGAGGTAGGCAAAGTGAGGCAGAGTGCCTCATCTGAAACATCACATCAGCACCAACACCAGAACCTAGGTCTCTCTGCACTTGGGCCTTTATGTGCCCACGGCTGGGATGTTTTAATGTTTTATTTAGAAATAATATAGGTCCAGAAGAAGTTGCAATAGCATGTACAGGGAGAACCATATACCCTTCACCTGGTTTCCCCATGTTAGACAAGGACTATAGTCCCCAGTCTACGGCCATACCACCCTGAACGCGCCCGATCTCGTCTGATCTCGGAAGCTAAGCAGGGTTGGGCCTGGTTAGTACTTGGATGGGAGACTGTTGCTTTAAACATTTCTTGTCTGCTATTTTGAGTGAGCTCTGGGATTTCCTTCCCTCCCTGCATTTCCTCATCAACACAGACTGGCTCAGCATCACCTCTCACTTCTACTTGATCAATCAGCATATTGACAAAAGTCTCTCCAGGACCGAAACACTGTCTTCCCTTCACATGCCCTCCCCCGCTCCCCCCCCCCCCCCCCCCCGCAAATCCAGCCTCATGCGTCCCCAAAGCAGGCAGAGATGGGACTGGGATGGCTGGGAGGATTCCGGGGGGGGGGAGGGGGAGGGGAGTGTCTTGAGCTGGTCTTGCAATATGGCAGAGGGGAACAAATTCTTCCTAGGGGAGGGTCCCGGAACTGGCATGAGTACAGGTGTGCAGCAGGTGTTAGGGCAAAGGTCAGAAGCCATGCTATGGCTCCCCTGTCCTAGCCCCATTGGCCTCCATGCTTTACCACCTCTGGTACCCTCCCCTGCATCCCCCACCTGTATATGCTGTTGACAAACCAGATACATGGAGGGATCTTTATAAAATCTAAATCCAACTATATCCCTCTCCTACGAAAAACTCTCCTATAATTTTATCCAACCAAAATATCACCCTCTACTATAGCGCTGTGTCCTCTGCCCCGCCTGCCTCTAACCTTGTCTCGTGGCTCTCCTCCCCACTCAGCACAGATCTCGGCTTTCGTTGCGTCCCAATTTTATCAGCCCCCAACTTAGGGTGTTCTGCCCAGCAGTGAGCAAAGGGACTCTGATGTTTTCCTGGTGAAACTGAGTGTCTGTACTCAAGAAGACGCGAGCTGTAATTCTCAGGTACCTGGGGCTTCGGTAGAGATGTTCTGGCGAATGTTTATCCGCGGGCTCTCCGGGGTGGGGGTGGGGGTGCAGTCCTGCCGTGTGGGGTTGGCTGATTGTCATGGTGTCCGTATTTCCACCAGGGCTAATTTCGAGCTCCAAGGTGACATCACTGAATGTGGAGTTGGATGGGATGCATAGTTGGCTCCCAAAAGCTTGGTCCTGCACACCACACGGAAAAGACATACCAATAAACAATTTTTCCATAAGAAATTTGTTTCCTATTCATAAGGAAACCTCTAAAGGAAGTAAAAAAGACACTTAGAAAGCTTTAAGCACTTTGTGCAGGGGAAAGTTACTGTGGGAAAAGTACAGACGTTTGCAAAGTATATAATCTGCTCCTATCTTTAGTTTTCCCAGAGATTTCTTTTCCCTTTCAAGTAATAACAGGATTATAGTTGATTAGCAGTTTGAGACATAAACAGGGTCTCCTACCCGAGGCATCCAGACATTTGATTGGTGGGAATTAGTTTCCAGATCAGTGTTCTCATCATTCCCTCATGACCTGCCAGAAAAGAAAATGAGTAATTCTGGTAACTCTGATCTCTTGGGGGAACTGTTCTCCATAAGTTTACTTACTGACTTGACATTGAGGAAATGCAATAGGCCTCTTGATTAGAAAAAAGATAACCCCAATGATCAACATCAACCATAACATAATTTAGTTGACTTTAATTTACTAAATTGTTTGGATCGGAAAAAAAAACCACACACCGTCCACACTATCTCAGTGGGGTTTGCAAAGGAAGTAGAATTGTCTTAAGTTGCTTAGAGCCTACTTGGGGGTAAAAGATAAAAATATATGAAATCAGTTGACTGTAACAGCAACAGTAATTGGGCCATCTGCATATGTGTTGAAGGGGTCCAGAAAACAAGAGTGCAAGGGAGAGAGTTTTCAAAGGAGAAGGTGGTAGCGTTGCTAGAGAGGAGGTGGGTGGGGGGATGGGGTCACTGGGTGACGGGCATTAAGGAGGGCACTTGATACAATGAGCAAGGGGTGTTATATGTAACTGATGAATCACTGAACTCTACCTCTGAAACTAACAATACACAATGTTAATTGAATTTAAATTAAAAAAAAAATGTGGAGCCAAAAAATGAAGATTTCTGATGTGTAATGTGAGCACATGCCAATGGAACAAATTACTGAAGAAAATCCATGAGGCAAAAATGAGCAGAATGGGGAGTACGTTTCTAAGTACGTCCTTCTTATGCTCTCCTTGTGTTTTCCCCTTGACCATCTCTCTCTGATGTGATCAATGGCGTTAGTTACCATTTGCTCAGAACATGTTTCAGGCTTGGTGCAAGATGCATCATCCTGTCATTGTGTCCTTCCAGTAGGAGTAGGTGCTAGCAAACCCATTTTTACACTGGGGATATTGAGATTTAGAAAGCAAATTATTTAAGCAATATCTTTGCTGTGCAACAAGTAACTCCAGATTCAGTGGCTAAAACAATAAGCATTTACTTAAGTCACGATTCTATAGGTCATCTGTTGGAGCTGGGCAGTCTCCCTGCTCATCTCATTCATGACTAAGTTCAACGGTATCCAGGTCAACTTTGTTGATCTTGCCTTGGCTTTCTCATCTGTCTGGAGCCTCAGATGAGAAGGCTGAGCTCTGCTCCATGTGATCTCTTGTTCTCCAGTTAGCTAGCCTTGGCTGATTCACGGCATTTGGCAAGGTCTTGCAAAAACTAGTAGGTACAGGCAGGGCCTCTCAAGGCTTAGCTTCAAACTGGCACACTGGTGAGTCCACCATATTTTATTGGCCAAAGCCAGACCCAATGCCAGACCAGAGCCAAGAGGTGGGGAAACAAACTCCATATCTTGATGGAAGTTGCTGCAAAGTCACTCGAGAGGTTGGAGAACTGTGGCCTTTTTATAATCTAACCACACTTGGCTGAAAAATGACAAAACTACAGTGGACAAAGAATTCATACCAGGTTTGAGTGAAATCGTGCTCTTCTCATAAAGCTATCCTAAAATCCAACCACTTTCTCTATTTTCCTTTACATGGCCACGCCCCTAGCTTACCACCACCCGATCACCAGCTTCCTCTGATTGCACACTTCTAATGTCACCAGACACAGATGCCCACCGTCATCCCTTTTCCAGGTTTTCCCTCAGAATCTTCTCTTGCCAGAAATGATCTTTCTCCCCGTTCTTATCTCTTCATCCATGACAACCTGGCTTAGATTTTAATTTCTCTGCAAAGCTGCCTGCAGCAGAGACTGCTACCCATCCCCCAGTGATCTGCCATTTTACCATTTGTCCTTTCTTCCCTTTTGCCTTTCATAATAGAATTCCCTTACGTTTTAGCTTGCGGTGGATGCTAAGCTACAGAATCCATTCCCCAGCTTCCCCTGCCACTTTGTGTGGTGCTTTAAAAAAAAAACGTTACAACTGGGACGCCTGGATGGCCAGTCAGTTAAGCATCTGCCTTCAGCTCAGGTCTTGATCCCAGGGTCTTGGGATCAAGCCTCGAGTCAGGCTCCCTGCTTGGTGGGGAGCCCTAGCTCTACTTCTCCCGCTCCCCCTGCTTGTGCTCACTCGTGCACTCTCAAAATCTTTTCAAAAAAAAAAAGTAACTTCCTGATAACCCTTCCTATAAAAAGGTGAAGTCTCATCCCCATGAATATGGGCCAGCCATCGTGAGTCCACTTCTAATAAATAGAATGTGGTAGAAGTGAAACCACATAGCTTACAAGGCCAGGTCATAAAAGGTGACACATCTTTACTTGCTCTTTCTCTTGGGACACGCACCTTAGGAGCTCTGACCCGACGTGACAGAAATCTCATCAACCTGAAGCCGCCATGCTGAAAGAACTAGGTAAGGAGGCCATGCAGAGCTCGCCAAGCCCCACAGGTACCATCTCCCGACTGGTTTGTCTTCTCAACCTCAACACACGGGTGTGTCTTCAGATTACTCCAGCCACTAGCTCTATGCAAAAGACACTCCCTCCCTCTCCAGACCCATCAAAGTCTTATTAAGACATCTTGGGGCCCAGGATCTTGTCATGTAGATCAAGTTCTGGTGTGAATGAGGCTCTTGGGTGTAGTTCCTCAGGTACAGCTCATTAACACTGACTGGAAGATTTGTGTGCCGTGGAGACAAGTTTCCTGTCCTCCAGAAGCTAACTGCTGCAG